AAGTTACCACCACATGCAAGAGCCTGACCATCATTAGATATTGCGAGGGCGTGAATGGACCCGCCGTAGGTAGAAAAGCGGGTTTGATGTCGGAAGTGTCGCTTTGCTTTCGCGAAGAGTGACGAGGTAAAAAAGGACATTGTTGCATATACGATCTGATTGTAGTCGCCAGTTCACCTGCTCACAGCCTACTTATAATAGGAACTTTTTTTGTTGATTCTATGGCGATTTCCTAGCCATTTGTTGGTTCCCGACTTTTGTGTTCATTCTTTTGTAAGTGAAGTAATATATCACTTTACGTAACGTTTCTGCTATTCAGGACTTATTTGTTCGATCCCCTTAAGCCACTCTTTTGTTGACTGTCTTTATTGTTTATTGTTTATTGTTTAATCTCTAGTAGATTATGTTGAATGGTGTCATTAGGTTGGTCATAAATGTCTTAGAGGTTATTACAGTTCATACCCAGTATCTTGACCCGCTCTCGTCGCCCCGCTCACGTCGCTGTAACCAAAACCACGACATGCCCAACAAAATCAACACTGTCTCTCCTTTTTATGATCAAGAGCCTGGCGCTCCACCTCCCTTCCCTCCTATGCTCACGGACCAACTTGAACTATTTGACAGTGCCCACCGCTCAACTATGCTCGTTGCTGACGAGATTCTTCCTTCCAAAATCAGTGCCATCGATCCTCCTATGCAACTCAAGGGCACGCTGGTGCCAGAGTCCAAACTTGCAGCACGGCCATTCAAAAATGACCCCTCGCCATACTTGAAGAGAGTTTCGTTCGAGCGCTCACGTTCCAATTCTCGGACGCCCAGGCCCATGCCCTCGGATTCTTTGAGTTCATTAGATTCAATGTCGGACAGTGGCTCCTCAACTTCGACTGAGAGTCTATCGGACGATTCAAAGATACCAAAGCCCCCTGGTGAACCAGGTCATCCAGGGCGTGGAGGATACACACTTAACGAGGCTTTAGACTGGAACCAAAAGGCATATGCTAAGTTCAAGGTGAGTGACGTGCTCTCATCACAACGTGCTATTTGCTCATAAGCACAAGAAATTTATGCACAACCTCATTGAAGAACATCTCGATACGACCAAGTGTGCTTCTTCCCAAGACTATGCGCTCCTGAAAGTTGTACGCGACAAAGTAAGTAGACCACAGATGGCAATTGTCCGAGAATTTATTATTTGTCAGGCTGTCGATGCTTTCCCGGACTTAGAAAACTACAGGGACTTTTGGCCGCTGAATGATATGATCATGATGTGTTTGAAATATACATCAGGTCGTGCTAGGCAGAAGAAAGCAAGGATGGTCGTGGGCAAGTCCAAGAGCAAGAAAAATGCATTGAAAGTGGGGTAATATAACTGATATCGATCTAATCTACAGTAAAATAGATTCACACTATACCCCATGTACTACGATGTACTACGTTTACTTGAATTACTAGGGATCGTTGCTCCCAACGAAGATACATGAGTTATAACAGAATGGCAAAGTGCTTAACCTTATGTAAGTCTCATTTAAAGTTTCGACAAAGTCTTGCCTGATATCAAGTTTATTCTTTGTACTAGCGTTCACGATGCTTGTGACAAGAACGGCGCCTTCACGGCGAAATTCATAATGTATTGAATACAAATCATTATATATTACTTCGTATCAAACTACCTCGCTGCTGACGATCCTGGATGCCAACCGGTGGTTTACCCGAGGACTCAAGGGCTTCACGACGGTGAGAGTACGTGGGAGCTTCGCTTGAGGGTGATGATTAATACTTTGTATAAACCTAATGAATTCATCAATGAGGACTGGAATCACTTTCCAGTGATGATGCTTACTGATGCATGATGAAGTCTGCAAGCGAATTGTCCCTGCCTCGCATGTTCACAACAGAGCCAGCGCTGGCACCAATCCTCATAACAACTGCATCACCTCAGAATATGTGGTCAATGCTGCTGAGAAGCGGATTGGTTCTTAAACGGCAGTGCCGCTTGAAAAAAACACAAAACTGATATACGTGTCTTCCTTCATGCAGGGTGACAAGACAGTTATGCACATAAGGCTGCACGGTTGCACAATCCAGGAGGCTCTCGGGAACAGGAAAGCGTTTTCCACTGCGCGAGCGATCAGAGCACTGTGTCAACATGGTGACCTGGCGAGGTTTACTCCAGGATGAAGAATACAGCCTACACCGCAAATGAAGTTCGGTAGTCTTTGTAGTGGTCAGCAAAAATCAAGAGAAGCGAGATTATAGCTTACGGATGATGCGGGGAAGATATATATGCGAGTGTTGACCATTGCACAGGAATGACAAATAAAAATTAGATGATGAGTCTAGGCGACCAGCGCTGAGTACAAGGAATGGCTTGAAAGTGGGCGATGAAAGTGGGCGATGAAAGTGGGTGATGAAAGTGGGCGATGAAAGCGGGCGATCTTATAGTAGTTTTTTAGTGCTTACCTTTGAACCGCGCAGAGTACAGAGCATCCCGAAGAATCGATCACCATATCTATTGTCTTTATTTGTTTCGCAGAATGCGGGGACCAGAACAATAAATGTAATCTTACGATCATTTGTATGCCTAGGCTTTTTGGACTCTTTTGTGTCCTCAGTTTTGTACTTATGACATGGAGCACCCGAAATGATAGCGCTCAAGGGCCTGAAAAAGGATAGTGCATCGTCGTCAGGGTGAAACACTAGTGACCGAAAAGTCTAAACACAATAATGGTAAACGTACATAAGTAGGATCCAAGCCGAGCCCAAAATTTAAACATTGATGATGCCAACTCCCATTACCATGTCAGAAACACAGCACCATGTCCATGTTCACATTGAGCAGGAAAACATACAAACAGCCAGTGATACGGACCTATTTGACGACGACGACGATATGGAAGACGCCGAGAGTCAGACCAGATCCCAGTTTGACACACCAAAATACGTAGTACGTCCACATTCATCAAGCGATCGATGAATCATGCCGGCTCAGTGTCTGTTCTAGGTATCGCAAGAGGCCTCCGCGATGGACTTGGACGATGCCACAAGCCAGCCCCCAACAAGGACCGCTCTGCCCGACAAGAGGGAAAAGCGAGTCGCCGATTCGGTACGTCTAGGTAGCATGATTCAAGGTTAATGATGTTAGACTTGGTTTGATCAGGTGCTGCCCGACAAGCGTCGCATCAAAGAAGTCGACTACTCAGAGACACTACGCGAAACTGTGTACAGTCAGAAGGAACTGATTCACAATATGCAAACGGTTCGTAGTATTTCACTGGACATTGTCAATATCTGACAGGTGGCCGCTGTAGCAAGTGGAAAAACAAAAAATTGAACATGAGCAAAACATGAACGAGATGAAACGGCAATGGGAAACAACTCTGAGAGAACGGCAAGAGCAACTAGCAAAGGCCCAGGAAGAAATCGAAGTAAGTCCTGCTGCAGCATGTGACTACCAGATGTACGCTGATGACTATGACAGAGGACCCGTGTCCAGCAGCAGCAGAAACTTGAAGAACATATTAGAGAGACTCAGCACGTACTCGGCCAGGCTAATCGCGAAGAAATAGAGGCTGCCATGGAAAAAATCCACAAGGACGCTCACGACCACTTGACACAAGAACGAATACGACGAGAAGCAGAGCTGGGTGAAAAGCTGGTCCAACGCGAGGAAGAGTTGAAGAGAAGGACAAATGAAGAGGTAAGGTGAATGATTTGACAGGAAAACAGCTGATAACAATGGATAGTTGGCACAAGAACGGGCGCAGCGAGAAGCAGAGCTGTGTGAAAAACTAGCCCAGCGTGAGGAAGAGTTGAAGAGAAAGACAAACGAAGAGGTGAGGCGGATAATCCGACAGGAAAATGGTGTGATAACAATAAACAGCTTCGAGAGCGCGAGAGTGCGATACTCGCCGAGATGGACCGAAGGTTTCAGCAAGAAGTGCTGAAGTTAAAGGTGAGAACATGTTTCATATATAAATGAAAACATGCTGAAATACTTACCAGGCAGAAAAAGAGAGCGAGCTGGCCAAGATGGAACAAAGATTTTCCAGGCGTCACAGGTCTCAGAACGAGGATGCGGATATGAACATCCCCACTGTACCGGGAGATGCAGGACAACCATCTCCATGCGCAAAACCACGGCCAGGTACCTCGTGCTTGGATGCAATTAAGAGAATAAAGAGAACTCGGGGAATATCGCACAGAGTTCGCCTTGTATCGGTAGCATCGGAGGTGAGCGCCCGATGCCATTGACTGTGATTTAAACTTACATAGTAGTAGGTTGACGGAGAGGAAGTACCTCAACAACACTCATCCGAAGACGTACCACCGCCTCCACAACACGATGCACAGCCTGCTACGACGATGGAAGATGCTATTGCGAGAGGTGTAGAAGCCGCACTGAGACGCATTCTAATCGACAAAGAATTTCCACTCACCAAAAAGCACAGTCCCCGGAGGAAAAAGGTAGAGGAAAAAGAACTCCGGCAAGAGAAGGCGGCCAAGAAAAGCTATGAAAGAGACTTTCTTTTGGTAAGCCAAAACATGGTATGGAGGCTACGACTTACAGAGATGTATAGGGAGAAGTGCGACGTCTCTTCAAGGATGTTTTCAGCATTTCTCAAGACAGCAATTTCATGCTCCATGATCCAGCTAGTCATGAGGACGTCTATGCATATGAATATGAAGACGGCCCAGGTCCCAACTGCAAACATCTCGCCTTTGATCTTAAAGGTGGGCCCAAAAGCCCCTGGAACGATAAAGTCATTGGCTTGCTCCTCGAAGAATTGCAAAGGAGGGGTGACCAAGAGAGCTGGCCATTCAGAAGATCAGAGGCGTATTTTAAGGAGGTTCTTCAAGACCACTACAAGCGCCTGCGTACAATTTGGATGGCTGCACAACCAAAAGTTACAGCAAAGGGCGGATTGGAGACTCCTGAAGAGGTGGAACAGAGGCTGATCATGAAGAAGGATGAGGCTTTGAAAGTGACTCGTCAGACAACACGTCGAAAAAATGTATGTTCAAGAGCTTCATATTATTCAGGTACTGATGCCTTCTCAGAAATATCTTCGCAGAGTTACGGTTCTTGACCACCTTGTTAAGTACAAGACCGACGGGAATGAGGAAGACCTCCCGGCCTGGCAGTGGCTTCAGTGACTGGTAAGGACGTTAGGAGAAGGCGGCATGAGTTTGGAGGAGAGTGACGTCGAAAACGATATCGAAACAGTTCTTCGTGTCAAGAACATGACTTGGCGCCGTGCGATCGAACGAGAATTGGATATTATCGATCACCAAAGAATGGTGGATGATGATATTTTTGCGCCTCAAGGTTCAAAGCCGATGAAACAGATACGCTCATCTGGGAATCCAAAGACATCCAGAACGGAAGTGGACGGATTACCTAAAGCATTGTACAACGAGGAATGGCTTGCGGGTTTGACAAAGCGTCAAGTCGAGAGTTTATCAATCTTGGATGAAACATTTAAATGGGTGAGAGTCGCGGTAGTGTAGTGTTGAACGATGTATGGGAGGGTGTAATGTACAGTACTCCTGGAGATATTGAGCGTGCAGCACGAGAGTGGGCAGATGACAGCGCTGTATGACGAAATTAAAGTCAGGATGACGATGGAATTAAAGTGAGTACATACCAGCCTGTGTTTTGAACTTATCCCTCGAATTCACGCTAGGGCTCGATTGAAGTGACTCCAGGACAACATGGCGGTACATACTGACGTGTCAAGGACCTGCCATCAGAACCCTGTTTGGTGCGCCTGTCTCCTTGCAATAAGTCAGGACAACGACATGATTAAGCAGGTACATACCAGGTTACATCTCAAACGCACTCAAACGCACCCCTCAAATTCGTGAGTGCCGTATCATGAGGAGTCCAGGGCGATAACCCAGTCGAACTCCAGCAGACACGACAGTACAGACCGTCATATCGGAGGAGGAGAGGATAAGGGACGACGTGACAGTATCACAGACCGTCGCATCCGCCAGTAGAAGTCCAGCAGACACCGCAGTACAGACCGTCGTGTCGAAGGAGAGAATAAGGGACGATGTGACGACAGTACAGAACGTCGAATCCACCAGTCGAAGTACAGAAATGCGACAGTACAGACCATCGCGTCGACAAGTCGAAGTCCACCGTTTTGTCGAAGGAGGAGAGGATGAGGATGACGCGACAGTACAGACCATCGCGTCGACAAGTCGAAGTCGAAGTCCACCATTGTGTCGAAGGGGGATGAGAGGATGAGAGATGATGCGACAGTACAGACCGTTGCGCCAGGCAGAGGTTGAGGCCCGAGGTATAAGCTAAGTATAGATAAACAGTAAGTGTAAGGGCTGAATCAATTCGTCAGAAAGTACAAACATTCGCAAACAAAGTCACGTGCAAAGCAAACTCAACTGACTCAAACTCTCAATCAACCCATACTCCTAGTACCGTCTATATTTAGGGCTCAGCATTGCTGAGTCTTCTCTTCTCTTCTCTTTGACTCGGACTCTCATCACCTAGTGGTCTGTACTGCTAGGTGTTGGCGTGTTCTATGCGACTACCTCTGTTCGGCGTATACTAGGCGCCTCGGATTTAAACCCCGCTGCAAGGCTTGTTCTGGCATTATTGGCTGCGCGCAACTATTGCTCTCTGCATTCTCTCGATCCTGCAACGGTCTGTACTGTTGCTGTGTCCTCTCGAACCAATTCTTGGCCTGTCGCGTGCAACGGTTTGTACTGTTGCACGCTTTCTTCCATTGCCCACTCCTCCCACTAATCGCAAGGTACTATGGCGCCCATGGCGACTCCCAAGCTCCATGTATTTATGCATGAAGGGCGAATTTTTACATCCTTAAATGTGTCCTCGCTTCCTGACACGATCCCTCCTATCCCTCGACCCTGGAATCCCATACTCGAATCTGATTCTTCGTCCGACAACATCAAAGACGCATTGACCACTCAGTGGGCTTACGAGACACGCCCATGGTTTCCACTTATCGCGGCAAGCCCTAATTTTGGTGGAGCTGTCTTTGCATGCCTCAATCATTCGCTCTACTCTTTGCCCATAGAGTCTACACCCGATGGCCGCTATATCTTGCGTGGAGACGTTTGGCAAGAATGGGAGAGTCTAGAGCAGAAATTACTGTGGTGTTCGCAACGATTAGCAGTCAACATGCATTTCCCTTGGTACGGCCAAGCCCCAAGACCTCCCAAAGACTACGGGTACCTGAGGTCCCATGTCGATGCGAGGCTTGCAAAGAAGGTCGCTCTGAGATCTCGCGATGCATTCTTAGGTATGTTCTTCATCTATATGCGCTGACCATGGCTGATTGTGTTTATTTTCAGGGATCTCAGCTCTCTGCACGTACTTTATTATGACTCGCCAGTATCGACCCCATAACGATTCCCCCTCTTGGACTTCTCTTTTAATAAATGACCCTCGATGTCCTATCCTATCTGCATGGGTGATGGAACTTTCTCGCACATTTGTCGGGGATCTTACAGATGCTGTACCACGCAATGGTATGATCATTAATAGTGCTTATAGTCTGGCCTGGGACACGGACGTAATCATGTTTGAACACTATAAAGTTCCGATCTGGGTGCATTGGCCTCCTGACGTTTCCGGCAACAAGGTGTGGAAGCGCTACCACCCCTCGGCAGACGATCTCGCTGGAGCGACTTGCGCTACTTTGAGCGAATTGCAGAACAACGACGTGTGGGGCATTCAGCCCGATTCTCATTCTTGGCTCACCCAGTCAAATGATATGTGTGACCCCGAGTCGAGCCAGCCAGCACCGTTATCCACTCAACCTCAACAAGACCTCTCTCATTTTCCCCTTCCCCATAAAAATAGTGGGCAGAGGCATGGCGAAGATTGGCAGGCGTTTTTTGCGCGCAAAGCCTTGCAGAACGCGAAGAAGGAGGAGATGGAGACCCCGTCTCAACGACAGGCTCGTCTGAGTCGTCAACGTTTGGCCGAGAATCACAGCCTCCCTGGCAAGTCCAGTAGGATTTGGGTGTTTGAATGGCAACCCCAAGATGATTACAAAGATTTCATGTTGCGCACTCACATCACGAAGGCTAGGGTTGAGGAGGTCTGGGGAGACTATAACAAATTTACCAGGATCTTTGATTCTTTTTCCAATCAATGGGACTTATGTCTCGCACTCGACCCCACTAGCATCCCAGACAGTGATGATCGCGAAGATGATGATGATATCATGCCTCCCCTCCCTGTAACTTCCTCTTTCGAGGTTCCACCTCCACCCCCTTCCAGTTTTGCCAATGATGTATACACATACTTCGGCAGTGATGTTTCACTTTCGTCAAGACATACACACATCGAAGGTTTCGTTCCTGTATTGCATTATCACTTCGGATATCGAAGCACTGCCCCTACCTCTGCTCCCACCATATCATTCCTACCAGCGAACGACTGGATTAAAACGGCCAGATGGGAGCAACTTCGCAAGCTCCTTGGTGATTCGTCGGCAGAAACGGGTTCGCTCACAGAGCCACAACGTCAATGCATCATGAAGTTCATTGCATGTTTCGTCAACATGAAAGAGTCTGACTTGAACACAATCCCGCCTGACCTTTGGGATCTTGGACCCCTCCCAGCTCTACAAATTTCACATCCTTACATTTGTATCTCGCGCGCGCAGCTATCGCAATGTCAGTATTATATAATTGAGCCCCGCGAGTCCCCAAATCTTGTAGTCTGGACTCTGGCTGTCCTCAACCCCGTCACTGCTGTTATGTGCCTGCGCCGTGATTGGGGCTCAGACATGAAGCAGATCGCGTTAGCTTTGCTTCAAAGAGGCATCGGATTCAGGACCTTACAGCGAATGAGTGTCGTGCCCAACCAGCGTCGCCTCCTTTCTGAACTTCGTACCTACACATTAGGGCATCGACGACCCCCCTTTAATCCCATATATGCTGATTATATCGTGTATGAGCAGCTACGCCATGAGTTCATGAATTGTCCCCGGGCGAGGGCTGCGTTCCTCCATGGAGGACTCATATGGTGGTTGGCCTTGCACAGCCTTGGTTTCAACCACCTTCCATCTGTCCTCGACGGTATTTCAACTGAAGCTGTTCCGTTTGGCGAGCTATTGATTGGCGATGGCGGTCAGACTTACTACGACGATGGGTTGTTGGAGGAGGAGGTTGATTTTATGTGTGGAACGTACTGCATAGACCTCCGTAAGCTTTCTATAGTTCAGTCCCATCGGTACTAATGGTCACACTTTCTAGGTGACGGTCCGGAGATAGTTTCATGGTGGCCTCGGCCCAATGCTTGGAATGCGTTGGGCTTAAATGTTGGTTTTTGGTCTGCTCGCTGCGAAGACTGGTTCCAAGGACGTCTTAGCAATCTTCGAGAAGGGGTTTCTCGCATGCGACATTCGCTCATCAAGGACGCCAATGGTCCAATGACCTCCACACAATGGAAGCGCTCCCTTAAATTTCAACCTGCTACTAACAAGATCATGCGCAACATTTCGGCAGCAAGCTACGATTTCATGACAAGAGCATCAAGTAAGAGTTCCCTCACTCCCTTTCTCATTCATACTTACGAGTTTGGCGTAGTTTGGACTCAGACATAGTTTTTGCCGTACTATACTTGTATGATAATGAAGATATTAAATTTAGTCTGATCGCCATTTGTCCTTCATGAGTGGGCGACGATTGAGTGATGAGTGGGCGATGATCGGGCGATTTATTTTGTCCGAAGGCGAAACTTGAAGTTTCGCCATCACATTTTGTCGCCAGCGTAAATTTCAAGTTTTTGGTAGTCCCTTATTGTTCGACGAAACTTAAAATATTGGCAAGCATATAGCGGTGGATTAAACTTCAAGTTTCGTACCAAGTTTGATGCGATAATTAAATTTAAAATTCAAGCAGACGCTGAAAATCCAATTATATTTCTTATTTGTGTTGACGTATAGTCAGTGAAAAAATGACCGTGGATATTTCATATTTTTGATTTCGTGCACAACGATGACTAAATTTGAAGTTATATGTCCCTCTTTATGTCAGTTCAAACTCCAAATATTTTCTTCACATTTCGTACAACGTGTAAGCCTATCCTAAATATTGACAACCCCGATGTGAAGGTCGTAGACTCATTGTATGCCAAAGTACGTCTGTGATTGTTCCTGGCCGCTAGTCTATGCTTACGAATATCATTCACACTGTCAGGATTGCATAAATGTAGTTGTTTAAATTTTCTCCTTCCTACGCGCGAGATTCAACATGATATGTATAATTAAGAGGAAGGAACGGCCGCACTATCAATGGTATTGAATGGAAGAATGACTAGATACAAGCTAGATAGCATCTAGATGGTCAAAAATTAAAGCAAGCGTGCGAAGTTGGCATAAGGAGCAAGACATGATAAGATGGAGCCTGCGTTTACGTTGCAGGAACGATCAAGAAAGAGGGAGAGAAGGTGCACAAGCGAATGATGGCTAGAGCTGGGCTTGCATGCACAGGAACCATCTTATTATTTTCGTGTCCAACTTGGCTTTCTCCCGCTCTTGGTATGAGCTACCTGGCTATCAGTACTTACTGAAGCAAGATGAGCCTGCATTGCATGCTTTTCGTAATCTGAAAAACCGCAAGGACACAGAAATTTGAGGTCTCTTGCGCGGTGAATGAAAATTTCGTGCCTTTGCCCTGCAACAGGAGCCTTGAAACTGCGTATATGCCAGCTGTTGATGCCTTCTTGACGTTTTTTGTCTTGAAAATGAGTAGCTATATCGGAATCAGAGCCGGAGAGGTAGACATCGCACTGAGGGCAGTATACTTTGCTAATGTCTTCTTGGAGAGCCTGGCATTGTATCATTAGCTGAATGACATAGAATGAATGTAAGCACGCAATACCTCAGAATCGGCGCTGGCAGGTCTTTCTTCAGTGTGAAGTGACAAACTGTCAATGCCCAAGGGACCCCGATCATCTCCAAGTGCATTGGTCCTCAACCGCTTCAAAGGCCGTTCTTCCACCTCGTCCTGATGTCATAGTAAGACGGCATCAGCTCACGTTGGGATGTGGATGGAGACAACGCACTTCAGAATTGCTTGGTAGACTTCGGCGTTTAGCCAGTTGCTGGTTATGGGAAACCTATTAAATGATCGTGTATTAGCTAGGCAGTAGTACAATTGATCGCGGTAGCACAGAATACCTCATAATCAGCTGGTGGGCTATTGGCGTCAAGAACTGCACTAGTAGTATTAACTAGGTCATCAGATTGGCCCAGACCATCGGCCGAGGCAGTAGTTAAATGGACGATGCCAGAGTTAGACTGTCGAGATAATTGGATGGCAGGCGCTGCAGTGCCTGATGGAAGGACTGCTCGGGAGATGGACGACACCATATGAGTCAGCTTGGCTAAAGCAGCCCGCATACTTTGAATCTCCTCAAGAAGATCATGGTTATGAGGGGGCACTGTCATATCGGGATTTGAGGCTGCGATGGGGCTACTTCTCCGAGTCCACAGGGATGAAAGTGTATTTTTAGAAGAGGATTGCTGGTGAGCATAAGACGCCTGGAGGGAGAGGGCAGCATCTTCGTTGGGGATGTCTTCTTTGAATCCTAATAGCTCCTGCCAGAGATCGCAAAACCTCATCGTTCGGTGAGCCATAGTGCTTGTTAGCTGAGGATGATCTTGATGCGTTCTGGCGTACATCCGATCACCTGTATTTTGATTATGGCCAAGCTGAGAGTGTAACACGTCATCAGTTCTCGGAGTTAGGACATCTGAGATGTGGTAATGCTCTGCAATGCCAGGCAGGATGTGCCTCAACGAGCTCATGTTGAGGCAGACCTTACCGGGAAGGTGTTTGCTAGTGAGTTGCTGAAGGATGCGAGAAAGTCGTTCAGACGTCCATCTCTGGCCCTTGCTAGATAAGAGATAACAGTGGTGATGGGGATCGATGGACTCCGCAGGAAGAACAAGATCAATAGCCCATGCGCCAATGGTGGCTACAGATGCCTGGAATCGCCTGAGTACAATTTCTAGAGGGCGAGCCATGAAATGAAGGGTGAGCTTGTCGTTGCCGGAGTTTCGAGATGATTTGCTGTAATCTCCTATGCAGGCAAGTCGGCGAAAGAGGTACATAAGGTTGCGGCTGCGGAAACTTGTATCCACGATCTTGGCCCGAATCTCTTCTGCGCCCCGTTTCGGCATTCCCGGAATCTGATGGAATAAAAAATAGAAGTGTTCCTTGAACGCTTCGATACTATCCAAATACTCTTCCCATGCTCCCTTGCGCGGCACTGGATGTCCATTGGAATCGATGCTAAAATACTTCTTCATGAGCTTTTTATCGCTCATAATAAGCTTCATCAAGACCCATGCTGCCTGCATTTCTGAAACCAACACGCCGCGTCCAAGGACGCGTTCATGGGTATTGTCTGTAATTTCCTTTGGCGTCTTGAGAGGATGCAGATCAGCATCGCTTGCTCCAAATAGAAGATCTTGTTCAAGTATATGGACCATATCCCGATAGACACTGTGGTACATCCGCGTCATGGAGGTTACAGACAGCGACTTGCCATCAAATGTAAAGTCTGGCCCATCCAATACTGCAAACTGGAGTCTAGGTAGGGCTATGTGGCCTCGGCATATCGCATAGCATAGTCGAGAATATCTTCGGATGGTGCAAAACGGCGTACGCATACCAGGTTCTATCCACACTTTCATGGTCTTCCTGAACGTTCTAGGAGTGAATAATTAGTAGTTAGATAAGTCAGATTTCCAGCACACCTACTGGTAAGGATCTGGGGATTTCATGACCTCGGTTAAGATAGAGAAAAGTCCGACATAAACAATCTTGGACAAATGGCTGGAGATAAGGTGAGGCGACGCAAAATGACCCTGGACGTTAACGCTGGTAGATATGACAAATGAATCAACAAAAGAGTGAAGAGGCCTTGGATTGTCGTTGGTGTGAGTAGTGAACGCAGACAACAGGAGCAAATGATAAGCTTCCATGAGCTGTTCTTCAGACGAGTCAGGATCGGCACAGGACTCTCTTAGTATCTTTGCACGTCGCTTCTGAATAGCATTCAGGAAGATGGGGTAAGGTGGGTGATCATCTGCGGCGCTCAGGCAAGTCAAATTTTCCGATCCGTCTTCATCAGGCCATGATATAGGCCCCCTCTCGCCTTCTTCGTCTTCGTCTTCATCTCCATCTCCATCTGCAAAGTCCATGTCATTCCAATCCAACCCTGGGATGATGATATCTTCTTCAATGCCCTCGCATTCTCCATGGCTCTCATAGTCAGAGCTGGCCTCGCTGCTTGTTCCTTCATCAGAATCAGTCTGAATGGACTTTATGCGTAAAATCATCATAATAAGGCGGTCACAATGGACTCCATAGCCTTCGACTGAGTGCCTTTCCTGTAGTATCTGGAATGGACGACTTGATTGAATATCAGTCAATTTTGGAGGCAAAACATTATTACAAAAACCCACTATCGAGTGCGCCAGCTGGTAAGCTCGTCCAAAAGAGCATGGTCAATCTCTGATGCAGAGGAAATCATGGAGAGGTATTTTGCTCCAATGCCCTTGATACGAGCTATGCAGTCGATATCCTGTTTGACAACTTTGGAGACAGAAAGATCTCGCAATGTGGCGAGAGAATATCCTTTTGTTGCTTCGGCCCAGCCAGTATTTGTCAAAAATGGTGAATGTTCTGCAACATCCGAAGTGTCGGACAAGTCGCCTGTCACAAATGCACCATTGATGTAGCGGGCAGAAAGGGTAGAATAGAACTTCGCAAAAAGATGATCGGGGCCTACGTTCTGCAACATCATGTGAACGACGAAATACTGATTCTTGGAAAATAGGCGCTGAGCAAAAACAGGTTGATCTTGTTTAGAGATGCACGGCCCTAGTTCGTGACGTGGATGAGTTTTCTTTCCATGATCCCCAACTGAATCAAATGTTCCAGCCACGTAGGGACAGTGACGGCATTGGAAACCTCGAACGGGCTCTAGTAGCCAAGGAAGAGGTGGAAGAACCCGCTTTGGCAAAACTATTGGACGCTGAGAATACTCTGCAGCACCAAGTTTTTGGCTTGCTGCTTTTATCGTGATTTCTAGAGTGGTTCTCTTCACGCTGTGCGATAGATGTTGCTTGTGATTATTGATTATATGGCCTACAAGTTGATCTGCCCATACACCGCACCGACACCGTTCACAAACAAAGAGTTTAAGATCAGGCTGAAATTTTGTCATCAAGCGTAAGGCATCAAACTCCCAAACATCAATGAGGCGACAGAGTGGATCTTCACCATTGACCTGAGGTGCCGGAATTGCTGCTGACTCCAAGGGACTTGGTGGGCCATCCAAAAAGCTACCTGCAGTAGGGCACTGTAGCGGACCAGGTTGTGCAGGCTCAGCACCATTGCCTTCACCAAAATTATCACAATTTTGTAAACCAGAAGGCGTACCATGCCTGTAATCAGGATAGGCTGGTGCCTGCATTGGCGAGGGTGTCCGCATCACTGGTGTCGGCATTGGCAAGGGCGTCCGCATCACTGGTGTCTGCATCGGTGAGGGCATCGACATCACTGGCGTCTGAGTCGGTGAGGGAGTCAGCCTCATAGGTGTCAGCGGCATTGGTGCAGGTGGCATTGGCGCAGGCGGCATTGGCGCAGGTGGCATTGGCGCAGGTGGCATTGGTGCAGGCGATGCGGGTACTGCAGGTGATGTGGGTAACGCGGGTGGTGCAGGTGGTGCAGGTGGTGCAGGTGATGCGGGTAGCGCAGGTGGTGCAGGATCTGGAGATATAACATCTTGCGCCATGGTCTGATCCATCTCGCCCTGAGGCACGTGTGAGGCAATATTCTGGGTACCAAAACTGTCAGATTGGTAGCTAGAATAGGTGGAATGACTTCAACATACTGCAGATGAGGCGGAGGCTCCAGAATACATATGTCCATAGTTCCTCTCTACATATTCTCCTAAGGAAAATGACGTCCATTCGTTGACAGTTGGACCATATATACTCTGCGGTGTATCACCAGAGACTGGACCAACAAGACATTTGTCGTGATGCCTTCGTATATAATCAAGGTGACCAGACACCGAGCACCCGCGATAGCGAAAGGGGCAGCAAAAACTGCCATTCAAGAACGCACAAGGCCAATCTTTGGAACGCCTAAGCGAGAGTGCACATCTTTTAAAATGAGCGCTTTTGATGTTTCTCTTTGCCTTCGGATCATTTTCTGGGATCGTAAATGAAGTTTGACAGTGCGTGCATTGCCAATATTCTTGCATGACCTGCAAACAACTGAGGCAATTTCTAAAAGACTTGATTGCGACTTAAGTACCTTGAATCAGAATGAAAACTTGAAAGAAGTACTCGATTTTTGCGTCAATGATCACTGCAAGTCTGCTTCAAATTTTTACGTTCAAACTTGAGCTGTTGCGGCGATTGAAACTTCGGCTACTGAGATGTAGCCAGCATATGACGAGATATTCGGCAGCCTTGAATTGCAGCCAGTCTGTCCTAATACTGGCATGCAGCGCACCAAAGTTCCTTCGTGCATCTTGTCAGATTTCAGGCAGGAAAATGAGTCAATCAGTGCGTCCTTACGTCTCCGAACATCCGATATTCAATGTAGCCACCGGCTCAGAATTACATTTGAAGAGGATACCTCAAACAACGAGAGGGGTGTCATCAGGCTCTTGAACGCGCCGGACAGGTATCCAGGAGATGCTCTTCACATCCGGAACAGGAAATGGCGTCAAAACATCAATTGGTATCGGCTTCTCACGTTCAGTTTTGCAGCTTCCAACTCCCGCTCTGCATTGGCAAGACCATCTGCACCGAGCGCCTCCCACCGAGCAGCAAGGCGAGCTTTTTCATGTTTTTCGAGCTTCTCTGCCAGAGTTGCAAAAGGTTTGCCAACGACGGTAATGTAAGGGCAGTCAATGATGTGCCTAACGGCTGTTGAGCAATGTCGAGATCATTATCTGCCATAACTTACTGGCGCAGGATGTCCCCGTTGCGAGCTAGTCCACGTTCGCAGAGTCCTGTAATGATCAATGCCATCTAGGCCGGGGTACATGTCCCAACCATCCACAGCACCGTACAGAAGATCACTTATAATGGCACCTGAAAAGGTGTCACCTTTAGCTGACTCCAATTTTCTGCGAAGCTAGGCAATATTAATAACTTCAATATTTGGTCACAGCCTGGCGATGCCAATCTACCTGGTGCTCATCCCGGTTGATGACCGATGACCATGGACATTTCTGTCATATCTATACCATCAGACGCGATCCGTTTGGAACTTGCGACAAGCTTCTCATCGAAGTTATCCAATTCTTCGGCAGAGACTGAACCAACGTAGACCGGTAATTCGACCATTGTCGCGCAAGTGTCTTCGCTAAAGTAGACGTACGACCAGCATCCAGTGTGATCTGCCGGTCAACAATTCCAGTCATCACATTCTCCTCAACCAGGCGCCTTAGGGACCAGCCAAAGTGAAGCTTTCGACGCGTTCCTCTCACTCTACGCAGGACCAGTTATACTATCTATCTGAGTTGTTAGGTATGGTCCCCTATCTTCATGCGGAAGTCGCTTCCGGGCACCTAACCTAATTATAGGAATTTCATGCGGAAAGGAATTTGCTCTGTAGCTTTACTATAAGTATGCTCGTGAAACCATGTTCAGATCTTGTTTCACCTAAGTGGACAATATCATTATTGTTGTCGAACTATGGGGTCAAAACGCCCTTGAAGTTTGAGAATGAATATTTCATCTCAATCTGCTTGCGGCGGTCGCCATAGGTCGCCATGTTGATGGTCTACCTGTTTCACAGGTAAACGCAATGCAATCACGAGGACTCAGGACGGGGGGAAGGAGAAACTTTACACTCACTAGTAGTAGGTAACTAGTACGCCAGCCACCATCAATTTATCCTGTGATATCAACGGTACATCCGCTATTTCTCCCCTCCTTTTCCACACAGCGGGCTCCAAGCCGTTGTTGTTGGCGCAGAGTAAGGGCTTGCAAGGGGGTGTCTTCGGAAGGTCCTATGTAATCTTTTTGCATCCTTAAATTTCATGGGTTTCAAGCTGATGCCCTAGCTGTAAAGTTGGTTGCTGGTGATAGTCCCCAACCATCCGCGGTTCACAGCTCGAGGTAGTGTAATTTATGTTGAGCAGAAGGTACTTCACCTTAACTCCTCAGAGTGTGTACCTTCGAACGACCCTTGGCCATCACCAAAATTACCAAATCCAGAGATGGTCATATATTACCATGTCGGAGCCACCATAACTGCCATATGTATCTGGCGCAAGTCTCAATGTAAGGCAATGTTAGGAAACTCAATTCCGACATTGCGACTGCCGTATGACTATAGTCTGGCATTAGGCTAGTGTACTGATATATCAAACATTGCTATGTACATAATGCATTTGAATTTCGCTCAGATTCATCAGACATTGCAATTGCGTTCGGATATAACAATGTGATGCATTGAATTAATGGTAATGCAAAGCAGTGAGGTACAACTGAGTGAACAGTTCCGAACAGAACGCGTTCCAACTCTCGAACCATGGTGATTGCAATAAAAATCTTACAGTACAAATAGCTACTAGAACTCTCACGACCATGGGCACCAGCTCGAGGCACCGGTGCTGCTCGTTTTGTTTTGTGTCCAGCGGGTGGAGGAGACGTCGGAGTTTCACTCAAAGGAGAAGGTTTGCGTTGAACAGGCGCTGGGGAGCTGCAAGGAGGTGCCTGCCAGGGGAACTGCGAGGAGGTGCGTGACAAAGAGGAAGATGAAGACAGCGGCAAGGGTGCTGAATTGAAGTCGATCATGATCTCGACTTTGGAGATGAGGTGAAGGTTATTGGTGATGGAGAGGCTAGTAGCGAGGGCGAAAACGATGGCGACGAGGATGGTGTACCACCAACAAGTGGAGGGATGGCACCTTGCAAGATTTTGTGGCTAAGTATGGAACGAATGAGATCAAACGGAAGTGACTCACGAAGATGAATGATAAGACAGTATAAAAGCCATAGCCTGGCAGGGCAGGGAATCACTGCAGCAAACATGGTAGGAATCTTGATGCGAGGGAAGTGGAAAGTGTTGATGATTGATTTGATGCACAGCACCGACAAGCTTTAAGTTTTGTTCAAGAAAGACTCGACGGGCGATCTGCAGGGTTTTCGCATCTAAAAAGATATTAGCCTAAGAATAAAATAGTGGCTCTAACGTACCAGTGACACAAATTCCATCAATATAATCTGGAATGACGCCTTCAGACTCGATGATGCCGTTTCAAAAGGGAATTCGTGATGTCGCTGAGGTCAGGACTGAAATTAGACTCCATCGCGACGATGAAAGCCACGCTGATAGCCGAGAAAAGACCAGACTAATCAAACATCAGTCTTAAAATGCGCCGAAGATAAGAACGCTAAACTTACGAAGATCAAGACAATGTCCATGTCAGTAGTGTATCGCTCAAGGAACTCGTCGTCATGTTCCGCTGCGACTCGTTTGTACACCCCCCGGAAACTAGACTGTTTGTCCTTTCCAATCTTCGACGCAATCATGGAGTCCTGGAGAATGTCCAATACTTGCTTCATGACATTTGCAGGGCTTCAGGTTTACCTGCCGAAGGGAATGCCTGGCACTGTTTCTGGTGTGTAGTGAGGGAGATCAACTGAGTCTGGAGAATACTTCGGAGTAACCGATGTCAATGGCGCGTTAGAACTTAGGCAGCAGGATTCGGCACCTCAAACTTAGTGGTTCTGGTCGCCTTGGTCTTTGTCGGCGCGTTGATTTTAAAGGTGGAGGCGGTGGTTTCGTGGGAGTGGGACGATGGGCTTGCGGGATCATCAAAGGAGTGTCAAGGTACGCTTCGACAATGTGGCAAGCTCCCGAAAAACTCACCTGTCGGCGTCCGCTGAAAATCTCTCGAGTTCTCTGATCGGACAGAAAAAGCATGCTAGAAGGATATTTCGGATCCATGTGAGTAGACGATGCTGGATCCATCTGATAGATGAAATAAGTACATAATATATGCATATATGCGCATACACTCACCTAAGTCGGCCATCCAGAGTCCAGACAGATCTCCAGCACGACAATATTGTCATGTGCCAACAGCATGCTGTCGGCCAAGTCGAGGCGGTCTTCAGTGTGAGTGATGGTGACCATTGCAGAGACGTGTCAATTGATTGGATTGGAATTACATAATGGTGTTGATATTGGTATAGAATAGGGAGATAAGCAAAAATCAAGTGTAGCGCGTCGATTTGATAGGAATTTGCCGGCGGGCTTTGAATAGTCATGTCACAGAGGCTGACGACGGTGTGCCCACTTTCAGAAAATTCATCGTCCTAATCCAATTTACCGGCATTCGCGCCATCGGCACCAGTTAGGTTTACTCCTTGGCTTTGAGAACAGTTCTATGAAAACGATATCTGTGGCTGCACCATCTTGTGACGGCACCTTTGTTACACCTCCAGAAACACCTCCGATAGCTATCCCAAAGTCCAGCCAATGCCAAGCATCGGCTGGTTCCATCCACTCTACAAAGGCTCTGTACCTTGATTCTTCCCAACCATCCTCGTCTGCTCTCAGTAGTCCGAACATGATGCCCCCGCCTCTACTACCCTCGAGCGTCACATGATCTCTTCAATCGGAAAGTCGCCTATCAGAAGTTTGTAATTCAATTCGAGCCCAGCTTGTTGCATCACTGCATGACACTCCGGCCCTTCACATGCACAAGTTATCCCATGCAGAACTAGAATCCATCGTAACACAAGTCATCGGAGAGGAAGGTTTTGCTCAACTGGTAAGCGTTCTCGGAGTCGTCGAATCAATAAATCATAACCGCAGATGACGCTGCTAATCGGATTCCCGTTTGCTTCCTTGGACACTATGTGGAGAGTGAAGGGTTTTTTTGGTCAATAATACCTGACAGTCTTGAACGCTACCCATTTATTGTTATCCTTTGGAATGTTAGCTTGTATGTGTATAAAGTCTTTTCGATCACGGTCGTTACTATCAAGCACCTATCTCATACCTAGCTTTTATTGATGTACCAAGAACTTGCAATTCATGAACACTTTCCACACCGACACTAGTGCTCTGGCGGCGGGCGCCCTTTAGGTACTTTACTTCAGTTTCACCCATTTTTCGTTGTATTACTCTATATGATACATTGGATGTATCTGGATATGTCTGATATCTGGCTGACAGCTACTCTACTGGATGACTTGTGTCTGACAGATGGTATGTTTGGTATCATTGTATCGCTACGATATTTCAAATGTCGGATATCACAGGTATATACAATTGGCGGCCCGTCAGAAAATTCAATATATCATGTGATCTCTGGATTCGGTAATTTTGGTGATGTGACAGCCGCATGACGAAATGACGGCGTTAGAAGGTAAGAGTCAAGCGGGACACGTGATGGCAACGAATAGGGAATATAATTGATAATTGATATGCAAACAGCTGCGCAGCACTTGCAAGCTTTGTGAGGCAACATAGTTAGTGCAGGATGGATATGAATAAGTAAGTTCCATAGGTCACTTGACAACAATGTTCTCACGGAGTTGGAAGACCGCCGAGGAAGTGTGCCACGTCGGCGGTCGCCCTCCATCGATCATGCATCAGGAAACCCACTGCCGAGCCAAGTGACTTGTAGCAGCGCGTAGCGCCGCGCTTCTTTTGAAGCGACTGTAGCAGCCTGTAACAACCAGTAGTAGCTGGAAGCACTAAAAGCTCCATACTGGCTCCGGGACTTTCGAACATGCCACAATATGTTAAGCGATCATGATTAAAAATTTATCATAGTAATCTTTGTGATACGATAAGATGATGATCACTGCTCGTCATTCAATGATAGCTTTGCTAGGCAGGAATCTTGAAATTGAGGGAAACTAGCAATAATACAGGCTCGAGAAACTACTGGTAACTAAGAATAGCATGGAAGGTCTCTTTATCTGCGAAGTTATTCACATAAAACTCGCGCGCCAGCTGCAAACTATTGTCGCAATTCATTGCTGCTGATACCTCTCGACCGAACTTGGGAATTAGCTGGATGACCTGACGCACACTTTCCAGAGGTACTATGTCTCCTAAAGCGGTGTTGTTCGAGCGAATACGACGATGAACTAAGTACATGTCAGTCACAGGCGCGGGAGTAACAAGACGAAGGCCGTTGAAGGCATCGACTGATGAATGAGAGAAATTGAAGAATTCGACATAAAGGAAAGGCTGGTTCAGACGGGGGGCTTCAGTAATAGGTTGGAGGATAGATTTGACTTGGACAACAATATAACCTATCATTTTGTGAGAATCTAAGTTACAAGCGAAAGGATTACACATACGTTCAGACGCTGCTGGGGATAGCAGTTCACCGCTTTCGTGAGCAATAAGGACGGTATTTCCTCTTCCAAATGGCATCGAAGAGTTAGGCGGCAGCGCCTGAATGGTTTGAGCAGGGCCAACAACACGGTTATCTTGCACGGAGCGCCGCTGCATGCGGAAATTTTGCCAAACGCGAAGGCGATCAAAGGAAAGGGAACAGTTAGGGCGACAAACTCGTTTTCCACTGCGCTCGAGGTAAGATCTACCAGAGATCAGATCACCCAGTGCTGGATGGAGATCAGGAATGTGAAAAAGTTGAGAGGCTTCTTCGATAGATAGTTGAGGATAGTGTGGACGGCAAGTAAGCAGGATTGCGACAGAGTCGTCAGAAGAAATACGAGAGCGATCTTTGATGAACAGTGAAGCAATTGGTTTGCCAGCACTGACATACTGCTCATCAGGCAGAACAGTAGAGATCCAGGTTGCTTCGGGATAGTGGAGGGTCATGGCATGTGCTTCCCTGGACATTTCATATATTAAACTTGCCTGCTGCGACTTCAGAACTGTGTAGAGCTGGAAGAATTGGAGTTTTTCCTGTCGATCAAGGAAGCGGCAGCACTGACCATGAAAATCCTTACGGTTAGTCATGCGGTAAGGCCGTTTCACATGGGTGATATGACAGCGCTCGGTGATGTCGCTGCTCCATTGATATGGGGCACCCATGGCGCGAGTACTCCGGGCGACATGCTGCATTAACTCCAGCTTCGGGATCTGAAAATGATTGAGAGGACCATTTTTGCCACGACGACCACCGGCTGCGATGATGGAGGCCTTGTAGTGGTGAAATTCACGCAAGGCCTCAGTCAAGGAGTGTAACGTTTCTTCGTAGAGGAAGAGATTCTGAGCCTGAAATATGAATTCTGTGATGGCACGTAGTGCGCATGCAACGTCATTGGGGACAGCGCCGACAATCACAGCAGGAAGGAGCTTTTCGAGGTCTCGATGTTCTCGACCAGTCAGCTGCTTCAGCGTGGAAACACTGTTTGCCCAGTGGCGCACTCCTACACGAGGTTGAAGAACCGACAGTCGACGATCAAGTTGCGCTCCCCCCATCATGTTGACGGCCCAGGTAATGGGGTGGTCGAAGAAAAATTTATGCCATTGGTGAAGGGCATCCGGCGTCAAAAAGCGGGAGGGGCATGCGTCGCCCCAATCCATCCAGTATGGCTCAACTACGCCATTTAGATGCAATGACTGACATGTCTTATAGAACGATGCGATATCGCAGGGGTCAGAAATAGTGCAGGCCCTTTCGATAGCATCAAGGGTGTGGATGCGAGTTCGAGGAGAATGTGGAAGAGGGTCCCCAAATTGTGCAGAGACAGCGAGGGAGATTGGTGAGCGCTTTGAGGCAGTACATGAAATGAGGAGTTGCTCAGGGTAGTCAGCTATCCAGGCAACCAAAGGGGTATGAATCATACGTAGATCCCCTCTTGGGTCTGACATGACGCAGCCATCACGAGCGGCAATCTTCAAATTACGCGTGATGATTGAGATCGCAAAGTGATAGACTCGCGCGGATAAAATTGCGTGAACGGGCTTCGAGACTCCCAGAAACTTGGGTATTGGAAGGTAAGCGGTCAAAGCGAACGCATGTGATGTCGCCTTCATGCGATGTAGAAACAACAATACTGAGAGGAACAAAGAAATGCTCCTGACTGTATCTAAAAAGTTGTAGGTCGTGCGTTGCCTAGTCTGCGATACTTGAGATGGCAAGTGCATTCGACCCTAAAGGGGAAGCAGGTGCAGCGGAGATCTAGAGGTACGCACTTCAGCGAAGCGCGAGAAAGCGCAGGTGCGCGCAAGGTACGAAGGCGCGGGAACGCGCGCGCGTATTAGCGCGAAGCGCGGGAAAGCACGCGCGTGTAAGCAGAAATAAGAGAGACTAAACTTATGTGAAGATATAAGCAAGATAAAGGATGTGAGATGTGTTGTGCTAATGAATAGATTTCTACTGCGACTTTCTAAGTAGTAAGTACTAGGTAAAGTTGGGTGAAAAGTAAGGTAAATAATAGTATGTACTGCTGGCGCTTATATAGCGCGCCTAAGCGCGCTCATGCGGAGCCGAAGCGCTACCGAGTAGGTATGTAAAAATATATATGAGTGAGAAACTATGATAAAAATAAAGGTGGAACTATGCTAATAAAGGAAATGGAAATATACGCACTAGGGAGCTTGGTGGACAGTGGATGGATGCATCTGGATGGCTGGCGCTATAGGGCGCGCAAGCGCGGGAACACGCGCGCGCGTATACATCGTGAAGCGCGGGAATGGTGCGCGCATGGCGCGCGTTGCGCGGGAAAGCTGCGCGTCATATAGGAATCACTGTGGATGGTACACAGAGTGATGCTGCGAGTTGGTGCTGTATACTCCCTAGTGTAAAGCGCCATATCACACTATGAGATGCACGAGTCTCTACAGCGAACACCCGCATGGATATTGGCAAGCGAGATCAACAGGGGATGCATCTCCTTGTTTCCGGTCCCGATCGTTAGAGGTGTTTTGTCTGAAGCACCAATCACACCAACGAACGAATGGCCCGGAGGAAGCTTATCCTGACAACTCGATGTTAATACAGAGAGCACTCGACATCAGTGGCTGCAGCCCACCTGTATCTCCCAAGCATGATCAGCGCTCATGAATTCTCCATAAACTCGCTGACTATCTGGACCTTCGAATTCTTGGTATGGCCAGAAATCCATGCAAGGCGCAAAGACCGGATTGGCGACTAGATGCTTGACAACATCCAGACCATCCCTCCAATATAGCATCAGCGGCGCATTCGTCTTATGGGAACCGACCTTGATCTCTTGGTGATACCATCGAGGGACCTCAGGTAGTGCTTCGATCCGAGCTCGCAGATCCTTGGATGTATGGAAAGAGGGTGGAATATTCTTCGTCTATATCTGTTATTAGTATACTGGTACATCAAATGTCGATAGACAACTTACATGTTCAAGGTGAATAAAGGCATCGATTTCCTTTTGCGATAGCGCCCCACCCGAAAGCCAGCATGCCAGGTCAAATTCAGATTTAGATGCAAATGGATAGTGTAAATTTTCTGAGTGACGGATGGTAGCGTGTTCATCATCATCCATTCGTTGAAGATGGTTTTGCCCTCCAGGTTTGGCAATTGGGATATTGGGGTGGTACTCCCTGATTGTGCCAGGACGTGGACCTGCAGAAGGATCAACAGATACGAGGGGGGCGTCACATGCTGAGTCGACTGTAGTGTAACCGACATGTGGTAATATAGGTTCCTCGACATCGTCCAAAGGATCAAAGCCTTCATACCCTCCATAGACTGGGTGCATACTGAGGTTTGGTCCTAGATTGAGTGAGAAATACGTACCATCTTGTTCAGTTTCTGGGTCATCAGGATAGTCTTGTGAGAAATGACTATGTACCCCAAAGTCCAGAGCAACACCTTGGACGACCCTTTGACCACAGATAATAGAAGTTGACAGATGATAAATAACATCATCGTTGTTTGCAAACATATCTGCGCAATTAGGACAGATAAGTCCATGCGTATCATTAGTTGAATGGGGTAGATCAAAAGGAGAGAGCGACATGCTGGTGAATAATTCAAGGGGATTTCTGCCAACACCCTAGAGTTGAGGGATGCCCTTATAAATATAAATCTTGATTGCCCAAGCTCTGTCGAAATTGACTGTCGACTCACAATTGTCACGGCATAGTCGCGTCAATGATTGCTTCAGTGCGGATATGGTGAATTATGAAAGTTCTTTGTGGCCAAAGGAGCACCTGTAGCAGAATCAGTGACATGTAAATCAAATTGAGTTGCTGTGAAGAACCGTATCATTGCAGAGCATCACTGGACTTTGCAAAGTTCTAGCAAACTCATCTGTGTGAGTTTTCTATTTGTTGATTCAAGAGAAAGGCATCCGCTATCAACGAGTTTGCATGCTTTTCAGGAATTTCATGCCTTGGACGAGCAGTACTCGCAGTTCATTTGGATCAGGAAGCACTAATAGTAGGTCCTTCAAGAGGTTTGTTTGTTATTAGGAGCCGGGTGCCCATTCACTGAATACTATGCACTCAGTGTTTCGTCACCTCCCACGTCCGAAGGACCCGATAGTTCTCCCATTTTAAAGAGTGGCTCTTCCAGCTTGAGAGCTAGGTCTGTTTTTATTAGAAATTGTCTTGCTTGAGTGTCCAATTTACTAACTACACACTCCAGTGTTTCGCTGTCTGAGCCTCCCGCGTTTGAGGCACTGAATAGCTCTTCCAGCTCAAGAGTTGGTTCCCAAGAAACCTTGAAAACACATATTCGGTACGTTTATCCAACAAGAGCTGTTTGTGTAAGTCCATTGACATACTATGATGTCCAGTGTTTCACAGCCTGCCACATCTGAGGTGCCTAATAACTCTATCACTTTGAAGAGCTATACCTCTTCATGCTTGAGGACCAGTTCTCAAGTAACCCCAGTCAAGCCCAGGTGTGTTTGATACGAGCTATGTTGTGTAAGTGGTTGTTCACTGAAGATACTTCTCAGAGGATCTACTACTGGATCATTGCCTCCCATATTCGAGGTGCCTACTAGCTCCCCCATATTGGTACCAAGTAGCTCCCCCATACCAAGTAGCTCCCCCATACCACGTAGCTCCCCCATCCTAAGGGGTAGCTCTCCCAAGGCTTCACCCCTCTTGACCACTATGGTCAATGAGGGTAGTCCCACAGTAGCTACCAGATCCGGTTCTCACAAGAGGTCACACCGGTATAGCTTACTGTCAGATGATGGACTCGATGACTGCGAAGATCTTCCCACGAAGAAATCAAAGCCATTACTTACAACAGTACGTGTCCCTCACCTGAATGCACTTCAAAACTAATAACTCATATATCTTAGTACACTTATGATCGGTCCTCTGAGGCTGAAATTTATTTCAATCAGCGCATGCTGGAGCTCTCTCGTATTAGCCGCCGGGCTTTCGCCGCCAAGATGGAATACCAGCGCCTACGCACTGAAGAACTAGAACTAATGACATCCCTCTTAAAGGATGAAATGGAGGAGTCCCAGGGGCATCTCACCAAGACTGATTTACAGATAGGCTCACTCCGGAATGACCTCCACGACGCAGGAGTGGCAGTGATAGGGAGCAAAGGGAGAAAAGACGCCAGGGAGATCGGAAATAGGCTGTTCCCGGGTTGTGGAGATCACGAGGCTGATGACAGCAGTGACTACCATTCTTCTGTCTCTTCTGAATGCAATGGCGGTGTCGATGAGAATTGGGGTGCACCTGACGATTCACAATTACTAACGAGCAGCTCCAAGCCCTGAGTCCGATTATTCCTATCTGACTGTTTATAGAGCACATACGTACATATGTAGTCTTTTGTAGTGTCACCAGTAATGAGGCTGGCGGCACGATTATGCAAATATGAATCCATTTCCTGTATCTTCTGATGCGGCTTGATCCTAGTACTATCTCGACAAATCGCCCCGAAATCATGATTCTATCAGCCCAGAACAAGCGTAAGCCTACTCAAAATTCACAGAGAACCCTCATCTCAGCATGCCTCATGTCGATCAATAGAGTGCCAGCGGGCCTTCAAGCTCGTTTTGAACTTGAACTGTTGTGAACTGCTCGTTCGTTTACCGCACAAACCCGACGAACCATATACCATTGGTGCTTTATTTAAAGGCAAGTTTCTTGCTTATCGAACAATTCAACTAATAAGCATCCTCCCTAACGCTCCACACACTATGCCTCGTGCTAGCAGCCAGGGTGTCCGTGGCCGTGGCCGTGGTACGACTCCTGGCGCACAACCTACCGTTGATGAATACGGAGTATCCATCACCCCATTCCAACCGACACCCTTCCAAACCAGCGAAAACGACTCAAGAATTGCAACGGAACGTCGGATCGCTGCCAATACTATGATACATGTACGTATGCATCATTTTGATGTGTTCTCGATAGTACTTACAACTCAATTCAACTTCAAGACCGAAGGCCCTCCGATCGACACGTTGCAACAACACCAGTCTCGCCGTCGCATAGGCCAACTTCCAGCGCAAGAACGGCTTAGGCCGTACGCCATTCCATCCACGCGCACCCCCAGCCAACACACGTCGTCTCGGGCTTCAATGAGTACCATCTCGTTGGATGATCTCAACGACGATGGTACCCGTTCGCAACGTTCACAACGTGCGAAACGTGGCTCAAAACAGAGCGCAAAGGTAAAACCCTCCAATATCGCGTTCTACGACGAGAACGACAAAAAGAACATCTACCACGCACGAAAACTCGTCGTGCTCGATATGATACTCAAGACCGGTTGGGAGGCTGATCGAAATATACTTGTGGCTATCGCTGAAGAATGCCTCTCTTCAGCATGCGCAAGGAACGCGCACCGTACGTAAATTCTTTTCGTTATTTATCTACTCATTTGCATTTAGTCACTGAACCTACCGCCGGTGTCATTAAACTGGTATTGGACGAGCTATCGACTGTGCGGGGAAAACTGGTTCAGGATGCCGAGGGTTACCTCTCGGCTCTCGGCCTCCAGCATGACACTAGTACTATGTCCGAAGAAGATCAAACGGCACGCATAGTAGCGCGTGCGAACCTCATCTTGGACGAGCAGAACCTCCAGGATTACTTCCTTCACGGTTGGGATGCTGACCGCGAGAAAATTCTCGTGTTTTCGGCCCCAGCCTATCTCAAATTTCACGAGGCTTTCTGGTTCGGACGAAGCTCGCCTTTCCTCAACGATTCAACGTCGAGGGCACGGATATCAAAACCATCGTGGTTCATGTATGAACTTACGGGCGCTGCAGTGAGTCTTTTCATTAAAGACTCCCCAAATACTGATACACTCGACACAAGCTATATTGTATTATTCGCCATGCTGCTACTGGCCAGCTTTCTAAAAGCCAGAATACCCTACATTTTACTATGCAAGAGTTCCAACCGGTCGCATTGGGAATCCGGAACACGATCAAACGATACCTGGACCAACCTGAGCTCGATGACAGTGAGTTCTTGCCCCGCATGACGGCTCACCATGAACAGTGCTTGTAAGTGCGTCTGAGACGCAAAAAATGATATATTGACGCTATATTTGCAGAAAGACTCTCAGATCTCGCACAGGTGAAGCATCACCTACCAAAAAATACAACATATACGTTCCCTCCTCCTCGTCGGAACTATATCGATCGAGGACGAGTACCTCCGCATCAACGCTATCGTCCGACTCCCTACCATCTTCGCTTCCAAACCCACTCACGTCGTCCTCGTCTTCGACGTCGTCTAATGTGTCGTGGTACCCCGGGCCTCGTCAAATTGTAGATTCCCCTCGGGTAACGCAGTATACGCCATGCGTTCCCGATAGCATTCCGCAAGGGCCCTTCTTTTATGGCCATGAAGCGCCTTTGGGCTCCCAGCCTCCACAATATTACATTCCGCCGGTGTTACGGCCCTATAGAGAACCCGAGGCATCATTAGATGTGCCACAGCACGATGGTGACGATTATTTTGGGTCGCTGGCAGGAAGTTCGAGTTCACTGGCAGGCTGGGGGGGTAACCATGAGGGTAGTAGTCGGAGGGGGCCCTTGTCATGATACTGGTGCTCCATATTTCTGTACATCATGTAGGTTAGTAGTAGCTTCAATGGATCTCCGATAGGTGCGGTATTCAAGTGACAATGGTCAGAAGTTTGACAGCAGATGTTCGAACGTTGACCGATCGATATCAAAACTTAAAGATTAGATGAGATAGCCTGAGTACTCAGGCTATCTCATCTAATCTTTAAGTTTTGACTGATCAACTGACTGCATTTTGGAAGCGAAGATGTGGCGAAACCGAACTGTCCCGTGAATTCGATTAACCGACGTTTAAAATACATGTTAACTTCAAATAGCTTAGTACCATTGCTACAGCCTACTACAGCTTATTACAGTTTGATTCCGTAGTAGTTGACTGCTACAGTACCGGGGTGTTGCTACCGTGCTTCCCCTAGCTACTCAGAGCTTCATAGCTCACGATTTCTCCCTGATGATTCCAACGAGTGACCATAGTACTTCCAAGGTTCATCATCCTCTCGGAGATCGTCAACACGAGAATACCTAGACAAGCGTGCTCTCCTCCGCCGCCACCAGAAACTACGTACAATCGCTAAGTCATCAAGCTTGACCTGTCAAAGATGCGACGCGTTCCCTTGTGCCTGGATTGTAAATTTGGATATTAGAATTTGTTGTGATGGCAAGAAGTTCACCAGAACTGTTTGTTCATCACTGACGTGTCCATCCAAGTTCCAGAAGCCCAATCTCGGGCCAATCAACGAACCAGAACAGCCACACGGAGGCATTTCTTCCAGATACAGTAAGCACGAAATATCGGGACGTTACGAGCGGTGGTGGTTAGATGCTCTTCCATCATGAGTTCGCCTTATACAAATGTGCCCTGACCCTCTCCACGACCGAGCCCATCTAGTCGGAGACCTTCAACAATTGCAGAGCTCTCAGACCGTACTCTTTCCAACCTTTGGGATCCTTCGAAAGGTCTCAAGCAATGGCTGTTGCTCCCTTTCTTATGCCTATCGAGAGCCCAACAAGGTCAGCGTCCTCGAATCTTGAATTTATACATATATAGACTTGGCCATATAGGAACCGCGCTACAACTCCAACAAGGTTGAAGCCGTGAGTATCTCCTCGTCATTATTGGGCGTATCTCATTGTCACTTCAGCCCGTCTTATCCTGCACCAGTAACCACAACATCGCCTATTCCACCGGATGGACATATTCAATACCCAGAATTCATGTCGCAACACCAGCTCAAGCAAGGTTACGCACCTTCTCTGCAATCAATGTTTAATTACCCCACTCTCAAGCCCACCATCTTGTACGATCTTCCCTACTTTTCGAACCGGAATCTTCTCAATTGTCTACTCATCAACTTCCTGATCTTTCTGTGGTTGTCTTGCCGAGTCAGCCGACGTCATACCCATACTCTCAGAATACGACGCGGTCGACTTCTGATGTTTACTTTGATTCTGCAACCCCGTATTCTTCCCTTTCGCGAGTTCGTCAGGCCGTTCCTCCACCTCCATCCACTCCCGTACGTCGTATCGATGGTGACCGGTACCGGACTGCTGACCAAGACTCTGCACGGATTACTTGTAAAGCCAGCGATCCTGTTCAAGTACCCGACCTGAAGATCGAACTTGCCACGAGAATGTCTTCCGCGGTTCCTGTCTATCTCATCGCTGAATATGGCGCGAAATCGTGAAACTTTTCGACTGTTGCTTGGAAAGACAAAGAAAATAAATTTACTGTCATGGCGCTCTTCATTCCAAGGCAGCACTTGACAAGCGATACTTGCACTATGGACGAGGAAGAGCTCGTCCTGCAATTCACGGAAGAACTTGATTACCTTGGGATGAGCATGTTTCCTCCGGTCGTCCTCTGTATCTGCGTCTAACAATCTTCGTTGGATTCACACCCATCCTTCACAATCTTGTGGGTCCTTAATTTTAGCACAGAACCTCTTGCTGACTGGCCCTTTATGAAAGCTTTATGTTCTACATACGCATTCTGGATTTTAGCGCATGCTTCCAGAGTCCTTTGCCGTTGTTTGCGCCCCAAAGTTCACTCCCAAGTGGGTACCGCATTGCTCATACCACTCATGTCTTGATTCTTTTCACAGTTAGCTTCGGAATTTTCTGCCTTACCGACTCCCCAGGCTTGCAAAAAAATTTGGACTGCAATGCCAAGGAAGCCCGCACTCAGAGGTGCCGATCTACACAGTGCGTAGCTTCTGGAGTGATTCGTCCACAGCTATTGATCGGTTGTTTAGGACGCAGACAAGGGGCACGTGCAAATGAAAGACAGCCCGCTGAAGATCTTGGACTTGCGATGATGCAGGGCTCGACGTTTTCCTGACTTTTATCTATAATTTACAAATGCAGCATTTCTAGCACTCGGCACAATCCACATCCGTTACCCCCTACATCCACACGCCTTAGTATCGGATACTACAGCACTTGTAAGATGACAGTCGTATCATCCATATAAAGGACAGGCATATCTACGTTGAGCATGCATGAGACTCTGTCGATGTCTTCTGCGCCCAGAGCGTGTCTTAACAAGCGCAGCATTGCCCCTTCAATGTCATCTTTCACGACGTCACCCACTATTTCCACCCACTTCCGGACGAGAGATGCGAAGGATTCAACGTGATCTGGGTCATCCATGTAAACGTCAACCAGCCCGTCGGAACACATCAAGATAAAGCAGTTGCAGCTTGACTGCTCATGAAGGTCGACATGACAAACGCTTGCAAGATTCGAGACGCATGGCGGGCTCAGATTTCGTGAAATGAAAGACTCAGTCGCAGCAGGGACACGAAATCCCGGTTCTACGTTTAAGAATATTTTCTCAGCGTAGATGCGAGGCAGTTTGAAGCTGTGGTCACCAACAGCTTGACGCTGCATCACAGTGAGATCATCTGGTCTAACACATTAGATAGGCTTACCTCTCGTGACAGCAAGATTACCGAGCACTCTATCGTCGAAGATGCATTCTGATTGTGAACTCGCGTCTCGTCTACTTCCGAGCACTGCTTCAAGATCGATGTCAGTGATTTCCGCTTGAACCTTCACCTCAGCTTACCCACTAAGCCATCATCGAGATTTAGCACCCAAAGATGTTTCTTTGTAGGGTCGACGAGCGTCAATAAGATTGTAGATCCCCTCAAGCAACGTAGGATTTTCTGATGATTTAGTCCCCGGAAGACTGGTCGTTGACTCGCGCTTTGACTGTTACATCTGACATCGTGGCGATTTCGTCGACTTGTTCAGGGAATATTTCGAGGAAGTCCTGTCTTATTGCTTCATCCACGGCAAAAATCCCTTTGGTGAGAACATCTGAAACGCCCTCCAAGTTGGTCACTGTGTGCAACAATCCAGCCATTAAAAGGAAGGACTATTCCGAGACAAGGTAGTCAGCTGTGTCATGTCCTCCGTGTCCTGTATAGGAGAGGTTTAATTGATTAATAAAATACGCGGGGAAAGATGAAGTATATGTAGTGCCTCATAACACGCACCATCGAAGACACAGTTCAAGCTCCAGACACCATTTGAGAGGCGTAAATCCATGATTAGATACCTGTCCTCGTTGATTGAACTAACATGAGGCTGTAGAGAAGCGCCAAGGCTCCTTGAGCCGTCGCTTGAGATATTAGTTATGCAGCGTTTCAGGATCTGAGCACATAGCTCGTGCTCTGGAAAGAGACGATAACGCCAAGGGCCGTAATCAGAGCCATAGGGCATAAAAAGTTGGTGTGCAAAGTTTCTTTCTTCCATTAAGTATGTTATGTATCCCTGTGCAGTGCGCACGTGGCTCCACCGATCTGAACATCAACTACATGTACATTCGCTCATTTCAAGTCGCATCAGAATTCAGAATCCAGAAAGGCATTTGCAAATGGGATTTAAGGAGCAAATCGAACGCCGTGATTGACATGGACATATAAATGGTGTCACGCGTATGATCATGATCGATCGTGAAACGATCTGTGAAATTGAGAACAAAGAGCAAGTATTAGCTAGCCTTTGATCGTCGCGATTGAGAGTTGGCCGGACTACATTTTAAAATCAAGCAAGCTGCACTACTTATACCTGCTGAGCGCTAAGATCCCAGGCAAGTTTTTATTTTCTAACAATAAATGGAACATGCCTTGGAAGACACCAAATGAATCAGAAACTGGGTGACTGTAGCGATAATCAAGAACACAGCCAGCGACGAAACTTTATTTTCCTAATCTCCAAATTATCCTCCTTCTCTATGTCGAAATCATCATTGTAGAAGATAATGAGAGAGTTGATTGTTCCTAATGTATACGCATCTGTATTGCGGTCAAAAAAGGGAGGGACAGTCCCTAATGCAGCGGGCTGAATGGTAGCTAGCGGGGGAAGGTGATTGATGTTTTCCGGCCTTGATACTTGCAACGCTAGTTCACGACCATGACCACTCCTCTATGACAATAACGAGGGGACACTTTAGGATATGGTGACAGATATAACAACGGACCTGACTCACAGTTTTTTGAAGAGGTTTGTAATGATTTCGTTCCTGTGGCACCTTAGCATTTTGGCTTGCAAGTCTGACGTTCATGACCATAGCTCGGGTCTCTTGTAACATCGCACGATTTTCGTTTATGATCGCCTGAGTCGTATTTTGTGTTCTTTGTATCTCATCTAATCTCGCCAGGACATCAACAGCTCCAACTGTTGCTGTTGCATCTACATCGAGATTAGTGAACTTTGGGTCTGGCGCCGAAATGAGGACTTACGAATGGCGCGCAATACATGAGCTCTGTTTTTCGCAGCTTCGATATGCATGTGAGATACTGCCGGAATTATACCTGAATTGAATTGATACACAAACCATTGATTGCAGATTGAAACAACTCAAGCTGAAACTACCTTGACTTACGGCTGAGAGGCTCCAGTTCCTGCACAGTCTTCTCCGCATCGTAGGCCGCATTTATATCAAAGGGATCTCCGATATCCTTGGCTTCATGGAGTCTATGAGAAGCTAAGGCGGAGATGTGTAGAAGGTCTGGGAACATATCTGCCAAAGAACGAACAGCTAATGGATAGGTTATCGCAGCCATTCCAGGTGATTGTGCGATGTAGCAGATCAAGTTGCCACCGTAGTTGCGACGAGGGCAATGCTGATGATAACTTTAGTTGTAGCTTAATAAGTGGTTTGAATCACAAAGACCTCAATCGCAGCGGGCCGCGGGTCTTGTAATTATGTAATAGTCATTCCTGTGGGATTAATTTGCTAACCCTTTTTTCAGCTTCATTTTCCATAATTTTTGCTTTCCCTACTAGTAGACCTTCACAAGGAATTCACATTCGTGCCCTTGCAACCTGACTATAGCATTGAACTTCGACCTGGACTCGGAGCTAGTAGCCAACACAATAAGAGGATTCTTCAACGCCAACAACTACTCTTCTGGTTGAGGCACTCAGCCTTCTCAGTATAATCAGGGGTGTGATAACCATGCTCCTACTCGTTGCTAAGTGGCTGAACACAGTGAGCACATGCCTACCAGGCAGTGTCAAATGAACATCTTATAACCAACTCATTGGTGTTGCATTGCCGAAATACTTTGAGTGCACCAATGGCGGCATTGTCTGTATGTTACATGACCATGCTGTTGATCACACTGGTGATTTAAGTATAGCCCCACGAACATCGAACAGTTAGTCCACACAATTCAGCTTCCAGTGCATGCGCCTCGGTGGCTTTGACAGCTTGGTCCTGTGCACGTGTGAATGTGTGGAGAGGTGGAGAAGATGGAATACCGTATCCACGTATCTAGATGCACACAAAGAGAAGATTCCACCGATGCATAGTTGGCCAACCTAATTGCCGTGTTCCATCTTTCCATAGTTGGGTCGCCTGCCGGCTGTTTGCGTTTCTGCATGAATTCATATGCGTTTCTTGGCTCAGCGCCTGAACTGCTGTCGGATGACAATTGACCAGTATCTTCGGTTATCAACTCAGAGAGAAGAGGGAGCGACACCTCCAGAAGCCTCAGCTGAGTCATTGGGTTGAGTACCTGCGCATATATGCAGTGGCAATAGAGAGCATATCAAATTTCTGAAGGACCAATATAAACGGGTCGTCGGCTTTGGAGCTGGTCAACACTATGTCAGCATTGCATTGTTCTAGAACTGGTACAGGTTCAGATGGGCAAAATGATGAGAAGGATTCCACTCAACGCATGCTCGTAAGATCGAAGTAAACATCCTTTTGCGTATCTTCGAGCACATAGACTATACACCTGACAGAATCATAGTATGGGCCTGCAACGCGCCCTCTGGAGGAAACACGCTAATATGCATCGGAAACACGCACTCATTGAACGACTTACGATTGGCAAGACATCATCAAGCAGATCTGACTAGATGGTCAGATCCACGGGACACAACACTCTTTGAGAAACTTCACCTTTGATGTGTTCGCATCGTCCTCCGAAATACCGTTCTCCATATTTGCTACCGCTGCCACTGATTCGGAATTACCCTCCCATCTGACTTTCTTTCGTGGCAACTGAAAGCTCTCTTCAGTGTCAGACTCGGCTGTCTGATTTTGCTCGTGGTTTTGTGCGCTCTTAGCGACTTCATTTTTACGGTGATTAGAAGACCCATTTTGTTTTGTCCTCTTCATGTCGTTCTGATGCGTGTCTGTAGATGGTGAGCGGTAACTTGCAAGGCAACGACTTGCAGTTATACTGTTACCAGTCGACATGTGCATTTTCATCAGCAGTGACAGTACAATGATGACGAGATGCAGACAAGGTAATAGGATCACTTCTTTACTTTCAGTAACTCTTTTGTGTCCTCTCCTGTCACTGCGTAACAAAGAATCTGTTAGTAGCAATCGTTACAAAGTAGGAGACAACGCACCATTCAACAAGAGGCTCTGAGCATCTAACATCACTTTATTCCCTGAGGAGGCTAGCATGTTGGCGACATCCCTTGCAGCCTCAAGCCGACGAAGCTCCAGAAATCCTTTATTCGTGCGCATGGCTTCACCAATCAGCTCAGCACTCTTTGCCTCACCTTGAGCTTGCACTATAATAGACTGTAGAAGACACATCAGAACTAAGAAAAACCGATAATTACTACAAGGATATATTACCTGCTTTTCTTGGATGGCCTGATCAGCCAAGAAGGCAGCCCTCAAAGCTGTTTGTTGAGCGACCTGTAGGGCAAAATTACCTCGGTGAATGGGATATGTACCAGATTACTTGCCTGCTTGGCCTCGACAGCATGCGTAAACTCAGGTGAAAATGCCAAATGGGTGATAGACACATCGTCTAGCACTGCATTAAAGCGCAATGCACAATTCGTCAGGTTCTCGCGAATTAACCGGGACACCTGACACATAACCCATCGTCATTTTACAACAGGGTAGCAGGTGAAAATACTGCGCACCATCTCACATTGTGTAATAAGTCGACTCGCATTGAACTGTGCGACCACACTTGAGGACTTCGTTAACTATAGACGGTAGTACGCGCTCGTCATAGTCTTTTCCTACATCAGGGAAAACCTCCCGCGAAGATTTTGTAAAATTTTCTGAAATTTTCTGACTTTCTGAAAATACATTAAAATATTCCAAGTCCCTCTACGGATGGGTGAAAATTTATGAAAATCCACACGAATACAACAAAATGATTATAATGTGATTAAATACTAGAATATAGCAAATCACAAGATATGAAAATGAGGAAATGAGACAAAACGTGTAACGCAAAGTCCCTGTGCTATCAGGAATGCCCTACTCATCCCATCGAAATCGATTCGCGCAAATGCTGCTTTCAACTCAGCGGATGCAAAGTCAACCAACTTCAGATCAAGTAGGGAAGAAAAAATCTGGTAGAACACAGTGAGATAGTGCTTGAACAGTTAGAAAAAGATGCACCACAGTAACCACAGCTGAGACCATGGAATTCGGGATCCGATGTTCATAGTAGCAATAATGGCATCGACTGCTGATAAATTTTTAGAAGTATAGTTATGATCAGAGTATTGCGGTGTATCGTAGCACACGTGTCGGAAGATCGGACAGTGGACATGAGTCAAGAGCTCATCCCGATTGGCTCGAGGACTATGAATAACGCAGTCGAGGTTGGCTTCCAACTTCCTGGAAGCATGTCAATAATATTCGTAGTCTCCAATCCGAGCACCATACCGGAAGGCTGCAGTAGGATTGCCACCGAACATAGGGCTAGCAGTGAGGCCCAAGACCATGGGATGTTCATCCTGCTCAGTCGTCACACTAGAGCCGTGGACCACGGGGAGGCGGGTAGGGAGGAACCAGGAATCAACCACATGACTCACCTGCGCGCCTCAGAATGCAGTGGCCCGGCTCTGGCCTGAGCTGCGGCTCGAGTAGGGAATTTGCGATTCTGACAGTGAGCATGAGCGGGTCGCTGTGAAACCAGGATTCAACTACATGACTCACCCTCAGAATGCAGTTTTGAGCTATGTGTATGCTCCAAATTGAGCCTGTAGCTGGGAGAGATCAGGAAGGCCGGTTGGACCGCCAAAAAGAAGAGAAAAAAAGGAATCCTACATAGACACCTGGTTTGAATGACCACGCACAGATGAATGCGACAACAGAATTCAGACGCCCGCTCGGAGCGAGACTTAGCTCTGTGGTGGTGATGCCTCTCACCTAGAGTCCCCAACAGTAACCGTAAGGGAGAATGAAAACATAAAGAAAACGACGTGACAGGGTGTGCAAGTGGTTGCCGCGGCTCGTGTAAGTTGCAGAGTGAAACATGAATATTTGAATGAGTTCATTGAAATCAACCGTGGGAGCCCTGTGATTAGTAATTAAATCGTTGGTGGTTCGATTTTCAATTTCTCAATTTACTTGTTGTCGCTGAGGCTAAGGCCCTTCGAGCGAGCTCTATGTAGCCAGCAGCAGACACCTCCGAATTCTCCCTCCCACCTGTTTAAATATATCCCCGTTCTGCATTGCGTGAACTCTACATTTTTGATATACTAGTAATTAGTTACATATCTCATGGCAGGTTCAACTAGAGCCCTGTAGATATCTTTTTCAGTGCATTCACTGACTGCGTTATGGATGTGACTATTTATCAACTATTTACAAGCTTTTACAAAAATTTGATGAAAGTTTGCCATAATTCTCGAGAATTGTTGTCACATTTTCAAAATTCCCGTGGGAGGTTTTCCCTGATGTAGTTCACGATATATTTGAGGCAGAGTAGATACAGCCGGCCGTGACAGAACTCTGCAAGTAATGTTGACCATTTGCAAATCTACAATTCCAAATTAAGCGGGTGCAGGTGTGCCGCAAGCTGCAGACGTCACCTTTCGTGCCAGTCAAACTTGCTACACTCCAAGGCTTTGCACGAATGTCAAAAACTATTGGAGTCTCGAACCAGGGAACCTGAGGAGCATAAGCAAACAAAATGCGTTCAAAAGTATGAACCATGAGATGTGTCCCTTCACTGTACACCTCATCCCTAACACCCTGGAGACTGAAGCCTATCCATATGATTGGGTGCGGATGCATCTTTCGTGCAAAGGCCCAATGCCCTAGGCTGACGGGGTCATGCTTACAGGGGTGGGCCCGATGCACCAAACTGATAGAGCAGGAGGAACTGGAAGAAGATTAGAGGCATGTTCTTGACTCCTCAAGGCACCTAGCGAGCGAGCGGCCTTCCAGGTGAGTGTGATCCTGATCATGTGCAAGCGTTGTCAACTGTTGATTGTGTTTTCGACAGGTTCATTGATGACTTTTGCGGACTCGGGTCTTACCAGCCTCAATATTGCCGGGCCAGCTGGGCCGTCGCACTTCATGGCAGTTATGCGTAAATACACATTCAGGTACTTATTTTCTAATCTTCAATAGTTCATCTTAACATTATCAGCATGGGGAAAACATGTCCGTGAATCCGATCGAAATACCTCCTTCCCGCCTCCCAGGGGATGATATACCCATCTACAAGGACGATAATATTTCTGTGTCTGCATTACCAGTTTCTACTGAGATCCATTCACTGGAATACTCAGAATCGGTAATAATGTCACACTCTGGAACCAGTGCCGTTAACAGGAGATCGGGAAAGAGGAAGTGTTCGTCTTCCCCTGCTGCACCACCACTACAGGAAGTCATATCTCACCCTGACTTCGACCCTACCACACTCGTCAGCGACATGGCACAGGAATGGCTTCGTCGCATTGTGCGCGCAATGTTTCCTGGGTCTGCCGCCAGACATTCTACTGGACGTTGATGGTGTTGAGCACGGCCAAGGGATTGTGGGTGTCTTTCTCTAAGTTACAGAAGTGCGTGTATTGTACGTTTTTATGTTGCTTCACCACGCTAACCATCTTCATTTCCATAAATGCCCAAGACACGAGGCAGTTCGCCATCACCGTCTGCTCCCAACCAGTCATAACCGACTGCACTGGTTACATGCGTCCAACATTTGTCTTCACAGTTTCAAGCCCGACCGAGACATCAAGCGAGTAGCACACCTCTCCAACAAACTTTCAAGCTCAAGTCTTTGCATCTTGATTGTTGACCCCCATCAGGAAGGGAACTTTTCCAGTACTGTGCACCAAGAAGATTAAGCTTGCCTTTACCTGCAGTGAATTGGAGCCGGAGAACGACCATCATGCGCATCATATATATTAAAAATACAAGAACAATGTAGCGAATGATCTGTGAAGCGCAAAAGTCTTGATTCTAGCATTTACGATCAACATCAGGTCGTCCGCGCCCGGCCACCCCCATCTAATGAGCCGAGTCGTTCCATCATGCCATGACTGTACTCTGCGACTAGCTAGTGTGGACATCGTGGAACCACGAATGCCAACAAAGCCAACTCTATTCGACTCAATGATAGCATCGATGAACACCGGATGCCTGGTAACAGCCACAACTTGAGTTAGAATGAAAACACGACATCTAATCCGCTCACCATTTCCCATAGATATCCTCTGTCCGTTCCGCTGCATAATCTACCCGCGTCCGCCCCAACGCCCCAACATCTGACCACCATTCCGGGTCCCTTTCGTCGCTCGTCATGATAACATGTATAGCATCAATTCCTTTTCGTGTGCGAAGCTCTTCTTGCACCCCAACACCCTGTGCACGAAGGCAGACAACAGGACGAAGCACTGATCCACAGGAAACTCGCATTGCTGGCTGAAGTCGCCATGCCGTATGTGGATCAATATATACTATCTAAAGTTAGATCTGTAGAGCAACCTATGCCCGAAACTTTCACTCACAGGAGGTGTTGGTTCATTCATGGCGCATCGGCGATCTTTTCCATGCTTGTAGTCCATCGCATACATTGGCCTACAAATCTCCATGCAGGAGAATAGTCTATTCCCATTCGCATGTATGATGAGCGCTTATGTAGTAAAGGAAATTGAAGCATAATACGTGATTGTCCGGAGGAAGGGAGACCTGGTGCTGAGGAGAAGGACTATTCATTAATGATAATTCGAGGCTTTCGAGGGAGTTTCTGAAAACTCAAGTGATGCAAGAGACCAAAAGGATGCATGATTGTGATGTATGCTAGATGTCGGCCCGACCCAAGCTGCGATTCGCATCCATGAGACATCTATCATGGCCACGCGTTTAATCACCGAAGAGGGATGTTCCAAGTTGTCTCACCGTGCTTGAGCAGGTTCAGGGAGGGACTTTGTCGTGGTTCAGGAATCTCGATGTGCTGTTGAACGGTTTCCCAGACAGTCCAACAACCAAAATGATCGAGAACCTGACTTTATGGATCCTGGACTTCGTGCCATTGAAGCAAGTGGATCCCTATGGATTGACTGAGTCGAGGGACATCAAATACTTCCCCAAAAACAAACAGAGGTGGGCTTGGGTCGACATGGTTATAGAGGAACTTTGGGATTATGGGTATACGTTCTGTTATGAGAGCGAGGTACATTAAATTACCCTAGTTCTTGTGAGGAACCGGGACGATGTCGGAAGTGGTTCGTTGACTTACTCTTGCATCATGCTGCGCTGGCCTCTCGTGCCCATTACGATTGAGTCTGGAAGGCACCAAGAAATTAACTCGAGAGTTTTAGTGACTCTGCCAGCAATAAGCTCGATGAAAATGTATAGCTACGAATTCTAACCCTGAAAGAAACACCGTCCCATGGGCAGCTTCATCATGGCAAGGGGTAGAACGGTCGCCCCTTGCCATGACCAATTTTTCTCAGAGACGCTGCCTTCAGCGAACTCGCAACACGTGACCGTTAACGTTCAGTTCTAATTATATTACTCTGCTATCACTACTAGTAACACAACGATCTACCAGAGTACGGCTTCCTCTTGGTCCCTGCGAGGTACATAGCCACACTTGCGAGTCCGTTAAATGGCAAGGATTTAAGTTCTAAATATAACGCTGCAGTAACAGACTAATCCTGTTCTTGTGGAACAATTACGGTTTCATCTTGCCCAAGCCACCGTGACATTGCCTTTGCTTGTCTCATCGAATGATGCTCTCCGTGACTCCTCATACACCACCATCACATAATTCCCCAATGTTACCGCCAGATACAGTTCCATTCATTTGTCATACCTCAGGCGCTGATTATCGCACGGGGGATCTGAAACTGGGCCGCACCGCTGTTCTCACTGATTTGGGAAGGTATCTGCGGGTTCCATTCGATTGCCTGGTGAAATGCGTTGATGCCATGCCCTCTCAGCAGGATCTGCAGCAGATACGCAACAACTTGACAAAGTGCAAGATTCTCACCGACGACAAGAGTGGCTTGCGATGGACGGACTTTATCCCACCTGCCACATCAAAAGTGTCCGAAGAGAATGCGTTTAAGCCCCTCGGTCGCATCATCGCTGAAATTTTGGCGGAAGTCCCAAAGAGTGGAGTCTCGTTCCTAGCGAACCCAAACGTGTCACCCCTGTCGCAGCGCAACAATACTTCCAGGCCTGATGGATACCTTGTACTTAGCAGCTAAAAAACCCAGCCCAAGATACATTGGTTCGATATTGCTGTTCCATTTGAGTTCAAGAAGGCACAGGATAGAGAGTCTTTCCAAGATGTGAGTTGTTACAGATCTTGTTGGCATCCGCTCACAAAACCTGCTCTAGGACGAACAGAAGATAATCTGGAGCCTTCACAGTATCATGCGCGAGGATCTTCGTCATCGTTTTGCGTTTGGTATCACAATGGAGGACACGCAATTGAGACTGTGGCTCAGCAATCGGGCATTCCTTGCAGTTACGGAACCTATCAACTTCTTCGAGGTACGCAACCATATCACGCTGTGTGTCAGGGTGCTAACAGGCATAGTACATCTAGAACATCGATGGTGTTATCTCGCTCTTTTACGCTCTTGGATCTGCATCTTCGTATTCGAAAAACCTCGGATGGGACCTCACTGTCGAGCGGATCCGTGATGAGGAGGGTTTCCAATACAAGTTCACTATTGGGGAGGAAGTGTTCACCACGACACGTGAACTTGCAACCTATGGCGCAGACTCTATGGTTGGGCGTGGAACTCGCATGTACGAAGCCAAAGACGCCAAGGGAAAGAAAGTTGCCCTCAAAGATTCGTGGAGAGAAGCTGGACGTCAATCAGAGGGCGAAATCCTAGACAACATCTTGGCTTCCTGTGTGAAGAAGCTGCAAGCGGAGGAGTTGGCGGACGCCAAGAAGCACTTCGTTGGAGTCCGGCTCTGGCAGGATGTAACAATCAACGATGCCCTAGACAAGACGCTGGACCCGATGTTCGTAGAAGAGCATAATCATACCTGGGTGTCCATCGACCTCAATCCCATCGTCTCTACGACACCACATTTACCTAGCACAGGCGACGTACCCCACTCTGGTCAGCTGTCTACCTTTCTTCCCACACAATTGGGCATCATTGTGCAAAAAGACATTGGCATCCCACGCAGAGTCCATACTCGCACTATCTTCCATGATGTAGGAGTAGCTCTCAAGGATGTCACCTCTTTGGCTGACAATCTGAATTGCTTGTCTGGCGCACTTTTGGGTGAGCAAAATATTAATATCATCACTCTCCTTTCCTCAGTCGCTCATTCAACCTTAGCCTTGCGTTATATGCACAAAGCAGGCTGGGTCCATCGCGATTTCAGCGTCGGGAACGCAATTTGGGTCGGGGGTGTGGGGAAGTTGGGTGACTTCGAGTACGCGAAAGAGACTGATTCAAACACTTCTAATGATGTTCGAACGGTAAGATTTTTTGAAGATGATCTCTTTCACTGTTAACTCGTTGACAGGGAACAATACATTTCATGGCGTTGGAAGTAGAGAGCCAGAGTTACCTTTTCTTCCCACGTCAGGCACGCCATCTGGACCCACCTTCATTTCGCATGAATTTCCTGCACGACATCGAATCCGTGTGGTGGGCTTTTACCTGGGTTTTCTTTTATAACACAGACATGGATGCGACGAACGTCGACCATTCCTCTGATGCTCAGTGGAAAGCATACCAAGTGGCCTTCCCTGGTATGGTCGGCCAGACATCACGCCATCACTTCTTCCTCTACACTAGACGAAAGGAGCTTGAAAATTTCCTTACAAAGACGTGCTTTAATGTTTGCGGCCCTATTATTCCTGATTTCGCAGACGCTCTCATAGATGACTATGACACGGCGGAGGCAACATTTCCCTCGCTAGCGCTTGATGATGCTCTTCTGAACGATATGCACACAAAAGCGGCAGCATATCTTAATGATGCGCAAGGGCGTGCTGGTGGCATAGAACTTTGTCCGCTCTCCAATCTCCTGAAGCAGAAGAGGCCCAGACCGGGAGATGAAACATCGCCCCCGCCAAAAAATCAAGGGAAGAAGCCTCGACGCGATTGATGTTTATTGTTTGTTCGAGAAAGAACCATGTAGCTTGGCGTCTCGTATACGTAGCTGTGACTTCGTGGTTACAAATAATATTAGGAATGTTCATAGTACTCAATTATATTTGGAGTTTCCAAGAAAGATTTTCTGGAAGATGGCACAATCGTGATGATCAGAGTTTCTGTTCGTATGAATTTGTATGATACATCGATTTACATTTGTAGATGAGAATCATTGAACGCCCCAGACCCTACTCAATTGTTGAAGGACAACACTTGGTCCGCGGACTCGTGATTTTCGGAGATGTCAACCATGTTGAAGCTGGTGTGAGCTTCGCAGGTTCAGGGAGTTCAGGTGATACATTTCTGGGGGTAGAATTTGAGCTGTTCAGAACATCGCTGTCTGCGTCCCACTCTGCTCGCCGCCGTCGAATGACACCTACGACTGGGGGCTGGTCAAGCAGAATGCGGATGGGCTTGATGCGTTTGCGCTTCGCAAGTGCCTTAATCTCTTGCTCAGGAAGTTCTTCGACATCGACAGTTACACGTGTCCCATTGACCATCACCACGCCCTTATCTTTCCCAGATCCCATCGGCCCAAGGCGTACGATAGCCAGAAGTCTCTCATCTGCAGCGAACAAAGTGTCGTGCGTGAGCGTCAACCACAGCCCTCCTCCACCGGCAGATAGTCGGTGACGGCGCAGGGCTATACGAGTGCCACGCGCTAGGACGGTCTTATACAGACCCAACATCATCGTGCACAGCTGTTGACACATGCTGGAAGCAGAGCCAAAATTCCAGATCGCGCGAAGGTCGTGTTGCCAGAAACATGTTATGCGAATACGTGGCTGAGCCATATATGTCGACATGCGCCGTTTGATTTGATTGGCCGGGGAGTGTGGCTGAGGGGCTGAGGATGGTTGAACATACTGGATGCACCAAGCGAACACTGAAAGTTATCAGCGAAGCGAGATCAAGAAAATGAAACGACTTACATGCAACTTGTGATCTGACGTAGGAGGGCGATGGCCTCAAGTACGCTGGCTCGTCAGTTGAGCATGGTAAAGAGGTAGAATATCTATTATCATGGATGTATCCTGGTGGAGGCGTGAAATCGTTACAGCATCTCGTGGACTAGCATACGATCAATACAATTCAAAATGAACATCAAAATTACGCACTTGGCAGGCCAGCCAAGCGTAAAATTGGTCTTTGATATTCGTGTATGGCGATCAAACATTTCCACCAAATGCGCGCTCTCAACTGCGGGGTCCCACTCCTGCCTGAGTTCCGGAGTGGTGATGACGGCCTTCCATGCATTGAGAGAAGCAGATTGGTCGATAATTGAGACGTCGAGGACGACTCTGTATACATTCTCACCCGACTTGGTAGCTTCGCGGTGCACGACGATGTCGGTGAGCTCAGGAGTGGGAGAAACGCGTGCCTTCCCTTTGCCTGGCAAAGGTGAGTCGCTTGCTAAAGAAATATGTTTCCATTCTGACGAAGAATGAGAAGTAAGGAGCTGGCGGAAAGTGACTTCAGAGCTATTAAGTGCATCTTCCCAGGTTTCACGGAGTCTAAGACAGAAAATAACACTAAGGACTATGAATGGCGATGATGAAGAGAGCAAACCTTGTACCGTCAGTCATGCCACAGAGTCCTAATGAAACAACGTTACTGGCACTAGCGGTATCAAGGGATGGTTACTGGTGGCGGATATTGGAATAGTGCGGAGCTGAAAGTCTGTGAGGTTGAGATGAGGATTGTGAAAAAACTTCAAGGCCACTCACAGAGGATCAGCTGCATTGATATCTATATCTCTGAGGACAACACGCTGCTAGCGAGCAGGTCATGGAATTCACCAGTGCGGATATGGAACTTGGAGACGGGCAAACTTGTGGCTGGTCCGTTTGAGAGCGATAATTGGGTGGGCGCAGTCAAGCCATCAATATATGTAGGGAAGTGTCTCGAGGTCTGGGATGTCCGATTACAGAAATTGGATGTGAGGATCGGGAATGGATCTGAAAGTGGAAGACACCGTTCTGACTCAAAGTTTGAAATTATGTAACCTTACGGCAACTTCCGCGCCGTGTGTGTATGGCTCTGCCAGCACCTTCACCTTTCACAGCCTCTGATGCATGCATTTTGCTTGCCTGGTCACGAAGCTATGCTCCATTCGTCGATTACATCCCTGCGCTCGGCGATGAAGTTCTACAGTACAGAGTTCGGTTCCTACCCGTTTGGGTCATACAAAGTGGTAGCGGTGGACGAGATGCCTGTTCAGCGTTTCGACAGCTCGACGCTATCGATAATCACTGTGGACCTTCTTCATGGCGAGGACTCGATTGAGCAGGTGCTTGAAACCCGACAAGCACTTAGTTACGCCCTGGCCTGTCAGTGGATGGGAATCAACATCCAACAAAAGACATGGTCAGATACTTGGCTCGTAAATGGTCTTGCGCTGTATATCACCGGCCTGTTGCCGCAAGCTCCTGGGAAATAATGAGTATTGATACAGGCTCAAGCGGGACATGCAACGAGTCGTCGAGTGGGACAACGGATCGATGCCGCCCATCTGCCAACCACAGCATAATGATCCCCCAGACTCCATGACGCTACCTTTTGTCAACTTGAAGGCGCCCCTCGTGCTGCACATTTTGGATCGACGTCTTTGCAAGTCTGGTACCTCGCTCGGTCTTCCTCGTGTCCTGCCCAAGATTTTCTTGTCAGCAATGAGCGGAGAGTTGCAAAATAATGCTCTATCGACACACTCGTTCTTGCGTACATGCAGGAAGGTCAGCGGAATTGACATTCGGTCATTCGCTGAGCAGTGGATCTACGGTAGTGGTTGTCCAGTGTTCAGGTTCTCTGCTTCTTTCAATAGGAAGAAGATGGCAGTCGAGATCACGATGCGACAAGATTCGCCAGCATACAAGGCGTCGAGCACAACGAGGTGTCGAAACTGTTGCATAGGCCTGTACCATTTTTTGAGGTGCGTTTACGAGCAGTAGCATCCTGATCAAGCCCCCTCACCAGTCTCTAAAGGGCCAAATGACTGTTCGGATCCATGAAGCGGATGGCACTCCATATGAGCACGTTTTAGACATTCGTTCGTCCTTCAAACGCTTTGAAGTCCCTTTCAACACGAAGTACAAACGTATCCGACGAAATACCAAGAGATACTTGGCACGACAAGCGGCTGCTCAGGCTGCAGCAGAAGGCGATGCAGAAGCTGCTGAAGCCATGGGTCTAATCGACATGGGTTTTAGACTTGAGATCTGGGAAAAGGAAAAGGAGCAAGAAAACTGGAAGGTGGCTGACTGGACAGAGGAAGATGAGCAGGTGATGTCGGGTGCAACGTACGAGTGGATTCGCATGGACGCCGATTTTGAATGGATCGCCGCTATCGCTTTTGAACAGCCCGACTTTATGTGGGTGTCGCAGTTGCAGCGAGATCGCGATGTCGTTGCGCAACTAGAAGTGAGTTATTTGTCGACAATTCATCTTCCTGACTTGAACTTTCATAGGTTGTCAATGCTCTCGCAAAGCAATCCACCGCCATCGTTTCGAGTACATTCACCAAGACAGTGCCCGTCTCCAATTACTATTATCGCATACGGTGTGAGGCTGCGATGGCTCTAGTGCACGTCAGTGTTTTTAGATTTGTTAACTTTTCAAGTTTCTGACGTGAAAACATCAGTGTGCTATTCGGAAACTTGATTTCTTGGGACTATTTCAATTCAAATTGTTCCTTCGCTACTGTTATGAACCGGAAGACCCCAACCAAGATTTATTCGCTCATACTTACGTCCCAAAGCCTAATGACTTCTCTGACCTGGCAGAATACTTTGTTCGAAAGGTATGTTTTCAGGGTGCTACCTCTATCTCACAACTCATGAATATTCAGAGTCTTGTTCACGCAATATCTCAAGTGCGCTTTGAGAATGGCAAGACACCTTCAGTAGTTCGTCAGTTCCTTGTCGACCAGCTTCGTTACAACGACAGCACAGCGAATCCGGTTAGTATGATATCGTCACAAATAGTTACTGATTTCAACGTTCTTTAGTACTCGGATGCGTTCTACATATGCACTGTGATTTCAGCTGTTGCTTGTGCAACTGTCTCGATTACTCCTCCGGAACGTGGCGAGCTCCTTCGCGAAGAAGTTCGGTCGGAGCACACTACCGAGGATGCTAACTTGATGAAGCAGGCAATTGACGAGGTCAGCAGGTATCGGAGCATGGACGGACTCATCCCGTCACCGAAGAATGTAGCCACCACTGCCGTATTGGAAGTGAGTAGCTTTCTGCACCAGAGTGTATCCCTCGTTAAAGACTTTAATTTGACCTCAGTTCTACTTGATTCTTACTACCGCGAACCTCATCCCGAACGATCTCTGGGTCTTCTTCCCTCTTACCCGGTATGCTATAATGGTCGTATATTCTACTTCATCTGATTGTCTCCCAGTGAAGCCAATTATATTCAAGTTCGTCTCGCTGCCTTCGATGGCCAAGTGGTACACGCCCGCCATCATGCGCTACGTATTGGCCATCATGGCAAATGACCCATCTCGCGTGGTCCGGAGACATGTGGCCCGTAGTGCATGTCAAAGCTTAGCTCTCTTGGTGTCCATGGGGGAGATGAAGAACTCCATCAAGGATACAGAGTCGCTGCTTATCGAGGAAGACGGCTCTCTGCCAGAGAAGTCAAAAGAAGCGAAGAAGAGCGAGGTCGACATGATGATAGCGGGGTACACATTCGTCTTGGGCAAGTACGAGAATGAGGCGATCGGACTGGAGGAGAAAGTTACCCTAAGGGACTATGAGGGGCGGGTGTATGTCCAGGAGGCATTGTTGAATTGATTAAATACTAGCTGCATCCAGAGAACGTGTAATACGCATGTTGATACATCGATATCATATCAAGGATCCGACGACTTTGCACCAGGTCAGCAAGAAACGCGCTGACTGCCTTACCCAACCTAGAACCTGTTCTTCGTTACTGCGCAGATATTCTGTCAATCAATCATTGTTTCTGAATCAATCTAATACAAGCTAATGTGAAAATCGAATCCCACTCTTATTACGATGGCAGCAACTGCACATCTATATAATTCATGACAGAATCCAGCCGTGTCAAACTACTGCAGGAAATCTGAATCAAATAGCAGTTGTTCTGCCCTCCAAGGCTGCAAGTCTTGCACGAAGTTGTTCATTTTCGGCCTGGACAAGGACCATAATCAACAACTGAAAAACAAATTTGCTGAGAATTAGCTCACCTGTACTCGGCAAACCCGCTCATCTGCTCGGCGAACCCGCTCATCTGCAGCCTGCTGTCGAAAGGTAGAGTATCGTCAAGAAAGGACACATATTTTCTAAGAATAGCCCACCTCTGCTTCCGTGAACCCTTCTTGTCGACTCTGCAAAAACCATTACCATCAACGAATGAAAACCGCATTTGATAAGAATAGCCTACCTGTGCTAGTTCCGCTTCGCGGCACTGCTTCACCTGCGTGAGTTTATCCATCGTCTTCTGCCACTCTGGCGGATAAGCCGCACAGACAGCCTCGACAGTTGCAGATGACGGTCTTGACATTGCAACTCCACAGTAATGGGTACGTGCATTGTGATCTTTGCATGATTCTTGATTCTGAGAGAAGAGCTTCTTCAAGCTCATCCACACGGAATCCGCATACCAGTAACATTGTTGCTCGTACAAGTTGTAGGCAGGGGCTTGTTGATGAACGAGGCATAGAACAGCGGCCACGTGGAGTGCTGAGGGTGCGGAAGATGGAGAAAACGTGAGCGTACAGAGCTTCCTGTAATGCCCAGGTTTATCACGGAGGTGTCTGACTGCATCTTCAGGTGAACCAAGAAGAAGTGCGTGGTCAGATGCAGCAGTTTCTTTCGATGAGGGGGATATAATGTCCGATGATTGCCTGGAGCCATTGCCTCGTTCCACAGTACGGTCGGCGCACACGACAGCCTCGGCTGAAGAGATAAAATGTCTGAAATAGAATAGAAGGAATTCATGTTCTGCGCCATCAGTGCATTTACAATAATCGATACGACTCAGTGAACACATTGAGTAGCGATTATCGGGCCTATCATCCACCATCCACGAATACCAATTCGTGACTGGCACACTACCACCCGGCCTAGGGCCACTGTGGAACAGTAGGTGGGGTAGTTCAGGAAGAACCTCCTCTGGCATGAATGGACGAAAGAGTGCTGCTAGTAAACGGCTGGTCCAGGATCGATTGTTTCGGTCTTCTTTTAAGAACATCGAATGGTCAAAGGTTTGGATACGTTGCTACAAGGAAAGGTGAGCCCTGGGAGCTGATTGCTGATCTTTGACGGTAGGCAGGTATGAGATCACTACTGGGACTCGGACTTGCGGCCGTCATGATCGAGGGTGCAACTATATTGAAATGATATGACGTAAGTACAACTTGCCATCCCACGAGCGGTCCTTGAGGCCTTGGAGCCTGAGGCTCGAGCTCAACATGCTCCATCATATTATCAATTTATCTCAAGCTTATCATCCGATCTCCAAATGTATTACTGGAGAAGATTCACTCACTGCATTTGACGATGTCAAGAATATACTTATTTGATGCTGCACCACCGTAACAGGCTTGTAAGTTGTCACGCCCACACTTGACTTTAAGCCTTTTAGCATGAACCGGCGCGTAGTTACTTTGCTTCAAACCTCTCATTTTTCATCTCATGTTCATCGAGCAGGAGTCGATAAAGGTCTATTGGAGGTTCTCTTCAACCCATTGCCCTACTGTGCTGTGTAGAAGTCCGTGCCGCACTCGGGAGAATCATGTCGATACCATACCTTTGGTTCATCGTCACTTTCGAAGATCCTGATCTAGCCATCCGGATCTTCGGTCCTGTAACATGTGAGTAAGGGAAGGTCCAGGATATCCCCAAGGTAAATCTGGTTTCCGCCATCTTACTCCCTGTTGGCATGAAGTAAAATACTGTGTTCTAAGGTGCGAGATATCTACAGAACATCCGATTTCTGCACAACTACTTACTCGCATGGAACCCCGATGATGTGACACGCCTTCAACAGGCAGTAAAAATAATCCTATCTACTGGACTTTTACACGCATGGTGCATCCGCGGGACTGACATAGTACTAGAAACCTCTACGTGCTCGGTCTGCCCTTTGATCTCACCAAGTGTGCCTACTCTTAGTCGTCACACCTTTCATGCTCACGAGTCACTAGGCCCGAATTTTCCGCCTTGTTTTCGCGTTTCGGTACTGTCATGCACGCTGTGATTCTCGCCACTGTCGATAACGCATCTCGCCGTCGCGGGTTCGTGGTAATGTCATCTCATGAGGAAGCCAAACGTGCAATGAATGCGCTCTCGCGAACGCAAATAAAGTATTAGAGCATTTGCTTCGCGATTCAAAGCTCAACTTACTGACACGTCACAGAGGACACACCCTTGATGTATCTTGGGCCGTCGTACAACGTTCTCAAGGTGCGAGCTAAAACCAGTTGCAAGTACTCTACCTCATTTATCCGGCTTCCTAGATGACGCAGACAGGACGATGATGCTGGCATCCTCAAACCCTTCGAGTCACTTCCGGAAATGGAGTTCGATCACCAACCCGCACCTCCTAACCATCAGTTCACCCCAATACGCCTTCCTCGAAGTTGCTGGTATCGAACTTGCCGATTCTTCTCTTTGCTCAGGCCAGTGACTTGCATCCTCTGTTCTATCCTTTCGGTCCCATCAAGGAGGTGAAGCTCAGTGGATTCTGCTATGCTCGGCAATGGAACCACAACCGCTCTAGTCGAATACGTGAATGTCTTCGATGCTCAGGAAGCCAAAGACGCACTTCAACGACAGTTCTATGGGACCTCACGCCTGGAAGTCCGATTCATCCAAGACAATATATATCCGGTTAATTCTACTGCTGCTGCGTATGCCCAGTCTCCCATGCTACCGAAAACATCTGATGCCGGCCTTAATCCTTGTGCTGCTCCTTTCGTCTTTGGATCCCGCCACTTGCCACCCTTGGCTTCTGGTCTTAGCGCCGTTGCGCACGATTCATTTGTCAACGACCTCAATCTTGCCAATAGACCGTCTTTACATTTGCTAACTCCAGCCGAGTAGACCCTCTGCTCGCAGCTCCGAATCTTACCCAAACCTTATCTTGTCATCAAGGAGACCTTCGTCCGGGAGTACGCTTGTCGTGGAGGTAAGCTTCGCCGCAGGGAAGCACGGGATCCCGTCAAGATTGATGTGAACAAGGCGAGTCGAGTGACAGGATCTTGTGAAGGATCTAGAATTCGGAATTTGCCGTGCACGAGGCGGTGATCAGATTATGGAAGATGAGAACGGCCCGGATGTATGTGCCAGGGCACGAATGCAGGAAGAGCGCAAAACTGTTGCTGGTTCCAGGAACAGCAATCAGCCACCCGTCAATGGTGTCAATGGCAACGGACATCTTTCAATGAACGTATCAAGTTCAAAAGTAAGTCTTGCCAGGTCTATTGTTGTACTCGAGCACTTCCTCCAGATATTCTAGCGGCTTAACGCAAGTCATCATACTCGAGATCATTCACATCTTCAACCGCCAGGCAGAGATCGTCAAGCTGAGTACGTATCTCTCTGTTCTCGACCTATTATACATGTTCAACGTTTACCGTGTAGTCCGCACGCTTCTTAACTGCTTCAACTCCATCATTTTCCGGTTTATTTTTATTTTTATTGTAGCTCGCAATTGCGCAGTGACACTTTCAGCTCTCTGCAACCCACTTACTTCCCTGGGTTCGCATTCTCTTGGCTCTGCCTTGTTTCACATCGACTCTTCATGCCAAAATTGCTACTATCCGAAACCCGCGAGGTGAGATTTGCCCTTCAATTTTGGAGGAACTTCTTTTGACTTTTTCCCGTCAGGGCTGGTCTGCGTTTCACAAGCTCCTTCTTTTCTCCTTCAAGTCTCTGGCTCGATGCTAATCTCCAACTCGCATCTCGTAATTTTTATTGCGGCTCCCTCTGACTCCTCCCCGTCCTTCTTCATGAGTTCCCAGAGTTCCTTAGCGAGTACTACTTTAGTCTCTGTGATACCATTCCTCCGCGTTGCGTCCAGCTTCGCAACATCATCCTCAGCACGTTCCCTATGTCTATCATCCTTCGTGACCCTCATCTACGCAAATTTGACTCGATTCCCAAAATGGGACCGATACCACCCATTCTATCAGACTTTGCTTCACGTCTCAAAAGCGCTGACCTCCGCAACAACCTCTATCAATACCTCCTTAATTGTGGAACCCCTTCATTCCTTACAACACTCAAAAATCGCTTGAGCCTGCCCGACGTGCCAGAGGGTTCATCCGAGTTGTACAACCTGTCACTAATAAATTCCCTTGAAGAGAGGGCACAGTGATAGTGCTGAACGAGACCATTGCAAATCTCGTCTGTGATTTTTTGTTCAGTCACGCACGCAGTACTCATTTGTATACTCATCCAGATTCGTCCCCTGTGCTCACTCGTCTTCCATGTACATGGACTCTACTGTACTCGCTCGGCCAACACGGTATCTCGTCGAATACGCTGGATTCGAGATGTGAACCCAAGTTGCCTTCGACGCCAGACTCAACGAAAGGAGCTCTAGTCGTAATCAGAGATGCAAGAGATGCGATTTTCGGCGTGTGGATGGGGGATGGATTGTGGTTAGAAAGAGGAGGGTGCTATGGGAGTGGCGAATCGTGAGTTCCCTTGCCTCGTCCTTTGCGTCTTTGGAGCTTATTTTTCTCTGGTCAGCTTCCTCTGGAGATACCATCGTTCTTCAAGCAAAGAGGACATGCTAGAAGACGGAACACTTGATGTGTACAAACACCTGTACTTGACCGTGTTATGCATAATCATGGCTTATTAGACACAGGCCGTTATGCATGGTTACCTGTAGTCCTTGACATTATGCATAATCCCCTCGACTGTATGTATAGTAGTGTTCTCCGTAATGCATAATGCCCTCGACTATGCCATATGTCTTGCTGGTCTACAGGCCTACAAACGCACAAACGGAAAGATAGGTAATTTCTGATTTTCTTGAAAATCCCTCGTAATTTCAGTGAAATCAAGTACGAGCAGATTTCTCAAGCTCAGTCGCAGTTACTTCGAATTACTTTGAATTTCTTCAAGTTTTCAGTCATTATTCCTCGAATACAATCAAATTATCTTGAATTCAGTTGACCTGCTACACGACTTCACCCACAGCCGAACCGTTACCGCGTTCTTGTGCACTAGTAACAACTCCCAGCACGCTCGCTAGGCCCACCTTCCACATAACAAGACTCGGAGTCCCATTGCTCTCGCTGAAACGTGTGCGCTGACGAACGGTAAACGTGTAGAGATTGAGTAGTCTGCGAGAGCTTTCCCGAAAGAAGATCCAAGACATTCTGAAGAAAAATCCCGTTAGCACACATCAACATCTCTATATGAAGCGAGTGGTGGTCAACTTTTGTCTCCATAATTGATCGCCACCTTGAGTAGAATCAAAGTAACGCACCATAGAGCTTCCGCCCCGGCGCAAGCTGAGGAAACACCTCCAACGTGTGAACCTTCAAAGCTACACAGCCAACTTCATAGCACAAGTTTGAAGAACACGAAAAGGGAACTCGATTTTCGTCTTGCACGACAACATCCACAGTATGAGCAGTTTGTTAGACGACACGATGTGCAAGTGGGACGGGGACAATGGACTTATTGTGCACGAATCGTTGGAAGGCGATTCAGATTCATCTGCACAAATGATAAGCGCGAATGACATTTGACTAACAAATGAAGTGGTCGAACCTGCAGATGCATGATCATCTAGCCGTGGAGGAGGACCAGGCCTTTGCTGAACCAATAACCCAACACATCAGATCAACGTTAGTTCGATAATAGGATATACTCATACTCACCACTACTTCCCCACTCCAATCTCTCGTCCGTTCACGCTCCCTCGTCCCCAAAGGCTGCATATTATTATTCTGCTATCGCCTGCGAGTTCGTTCCAACTTGAGGCATAGTGCTTTGATACGGACCTGCGGGGTTGGAAAGACTCGCCTTTGGTATAGTGGGTAGTGCTTGACGGGGTTGTTCAAGAGACGGGACGATCTCTGGGGTGCCGGAGATGTATACGTACACGTAGATGTAGAAGTGAATGTGGATATGGGTGTAGATGCGGTGAAGTTGCAAAGATATCAGATGATGTCTATGAGTGGTGAGAAGGCAAACATGATGATATGATGTAGGGACTTACGAATGAGACGTTCACGAGATCACCGATCACATAATCGGCACCAGTCCCTGACGCGATGCTACGAAGGTAGGTGCCCTCTGGACAGAGAGGCAGTAGCTCATGATAGAGTTGGGCGGCTTCGTGGATGTCGGCAGCAGTACATTTCTTGCTGTGGCGCCAATTCAGCGCTCGGGAGAGAATATAGAGAGAGAAGGGACGATCGAGATGGTGCTGCGGACGCAATGCAAGGGCGTCGCGGAAGAGGGAAATGGTGGTATCTATGTCTGGCAGATGATTTCGGATGTAGCCTAAAAGGCGGGCCGACGCGAGATTGGTGAGAGCTGCTGCATGGTCAGGATGGCTGGCCGGACACTGGTCCAAAACAAACTGAAAGTGCTCTACAGCAGCGTTCAGGTGAGAGACCGTCCCGCTTGCAGTGTATTCGGCAAATTGCGCGTGGCCTGCATCTGTGAGTCGAGTAATCTCGCAGTCTACGAGGGACTGCAGATGGCCCTCCATCAGAAAAGCTAGCAGCTAAAGCCAGCGTCACTCACATCAGACAGTGTGCCATCCTGATCGTCGCAAGCCTGTACAACGGCAGCCTTCAGCGTGAGGGATGGGTGGACGCCGCGCACAGGTGGGAAGGATAGATCTAAGAGATGTTAGTATACGTGCGTGAATGACGAGCAAATCACTCACCAAAAAGTTCATCTCCATGATTGAGTAGCTCATCCCACGACATATGAAGTTTACTGATGACCTCTCCACTGCCTAACATTCGATCGGCCTCATAGGACGCCCAGATTTCCACAAACAATTCAGGTAAGGCATCTGATTATCTAAACTGAAGGTCAGTTCTCGAATCGTACCTGGAAGTCAACAAGGACTTACAGAGTCACAGTATCCCCCCACAATACAGATCTGTCGGATGATGAGACACCGATTGCTGATTTCCAGCGTCTCTGAGAGTCGACATTGATTGATACGTAAACACCTGCAGGTATGCGCCAGGAGGGGACTTGAAGATTACTTCCGCTGACGACTGTAGATAGAGCATGAGGATAAGAAAACGGATACGGAGATGATATGGAGTGACTCACCATCAAGTCTGATACATCGGTTTTCTGAGCTAACAGACATGATAGTGCGATGAAGCAAAATGATGAGGATCGAGGATGATATGCGTGGTGGGCGGGATGGGTGGGAGTGGAAGACGTGGGGTAGAGACGTGGGGTAGAGACGTGGGGTAGAGACTGGCATGATTGCACTAAACGCTGAGAATAGG